CGAGATGTTTGTTAGAGGGTCTTGATACATTTGTAATCAGTGAATGTAAGTTAAATGCCTGTGTCCTTGTTCGAAATATTTGTCCTTGTTGATGTTGCAAATGGAGCTGCATTGATCCGAGAAAAATGTCCGCCCTGAGCTGAAAAAGTACTAGTGTATTGTGTAATTTTATCAGAGTATCGTGGTATCGTAGTATCAGAATATCGTAGTGTCAGACTATCGTAGTATCAGAATATCGTGGTATCATAGTGTCAGATTACCGTAGTATCAGAGTATCATGGTATCATAGTGTCAGATTATCGTAGTATCAGAGTATCGTGGTATCGTAGCATCAGAATATCGTAGTGTCAGACTATCGTAGTATCAGAGTATCGTGGTATCGTAGCATCAGAATATCAGAGTATCGTGGTATCGTAATATCATTCCATAGTTTTTTCAGAGTATGCTAGTATCATAGTATCAGAATATCGTAATAAAGTAGTACCTATTATAGTAGTATTAAAGTATAGTAAAGGCTTCTAGGACTAATACACAACATTTAGCTCCCAGAAAGTCTTCACAAATATTGTTACTGTTTCCTTTTCCACTTTGTTACAAAGTGTTAATCATTTCTGGGTCTATGGAGACAAGTTTGTGGTCTTTAGCTTTCATAGAATCTGAAATGAACTTAACCTTTATCGAGATTTTCAGACACACTCATGATGTTGATCCAATTAGTGAGAAAAAGAGAGAAACATGTTTGCGAAGGCATCTCTGAACATTCAGCGAGAGAAAAACACTCATCAGGGTGTCAATGAACATATTGAGAGAGCTAATGTAGCGTTGCTGATGTATGGTGTGTGTGTGTGTGTGTGTGTGTGTGTGTGTGTTTCCAGTCTCCGACATATTAAGCATCGTGCAGAGACAATGATTGTGTGTTAGTATCCTCAGTCGTCCTTAAACCAAAGACTATAATGTAATTGGCAGATTGGAACAAACTATTATCAGCATATTAGCACGCTTGTGAGTGAAAGGACAACAAAAATAAAGAAGTCATCAAGCGGTGGAACAGCTGCAGCCCAATAAAAGCTGTATGTGGAGAAAAAACAACACGATTAGAGCCTCTCCTCTTGACTGCAGGAGGCTCTCTGCGCTTTAGTGTGAGACATTAGGGTCGTAATTGAGTTGCGGCGGACAAGGCCAACGACCAGAGCAGAAAGGTCAGCGGCTCGAGATTATTGGGTTGCCGTTTGGAAATGCTACTAAACCCTGCAGGCTTTGATCATTTGCAACAAATCTCTTCCGACAGATAAAGCGATCAGATGCTATTTGTGGAAGCATAACATTTACTTAGAAGCCGTGAGGTTGTAGGTTCAGCATCAGTGCGCCGGATACACATCGTGAAGCCAGACTCAACACTTGTGACGTCACGTACTGACCCAGTCTCCTTCGATGTAAAGATTAATAACAGTAACACACACAGTCTTAACATTTATTATATTAATGTACCTTCTTTAGGCGACCAAATACCCTACAATAACTAACTCTGCCAGAGATCACCTGCAAAACATTTTTGCCGTGATCTAATTTACGGCCGTGCACTACAAAGAACGAGGATTGATTTTTGAACATGAGCAACAGAACAGCATGAATAACAATATCATGCTGTGCAGACAACAAGGACAATTAGCAGATTGATATTCAGCGGGAAAATGAATTGCTTCTTTGATTAAATGTTGGAGGAATTCAATTAACCTCCTCGGGCAAAACAGACATGAGGCAGAGGGGGGGGGGGTTGTCAGGCAACAGCTGTTGTTGTTATTTACATGTCACAATCGATATTCCCTTCAATTTACTTCAAGTCGTTTGACAATGTTTCTTTTGTGTGACACCCTGCATGTTGCATTTGGATCATTTCATGTTTTTAAATCAAATAATAGGAAACCAGTATGGTTAGTGGGATATTTAAAAAGCAGTCAGTCGAAGCTGCCACTTGAGTAGCGACTGTAGATAAAAGCCACATTCAAATAAATGAATGAAACAGCCAAGTCATTAGGTCTGCTTCATGATATTATTCATCAAAAATCTCATTGTTATCTGATCGTTAAACATTGACTTTCTTGCAGTTTTGTTTAAAGTAAATGTCTCACCTTTAGTGTCACTATTATAGTTAATTAAATGAGTTGTTTATGCTTTTATTTTGAAGGCAGCTTTGGGCACTGGGTGATTAGGTAGTAATTGGAAACAGGTGGAGGTGGGATTGGCGCACCAGAAATGATATTTGTTTTTCTTAGTAAGGAGGGCCTCAGGACAAGAGAACAGGTAGAGGATGTTTATCATTGTACTTTACTATTTGTAATAAACTGCACAAAACAATATTCTTGCCACGGAAAATGGGTTATAACCTGCATAAGATTCAAGATCTGGTGCCACAGAGTCAGTTTGATTTTAGTTTTTGCCGCTATATCCATTGGGTAAACAATGTATAAAAGCGTTCAACCTTTCAATATCGTCACAATATCGATGTTGATCAAGTATTTGGTTAAAAAGTATCGCCATATTTGCTAAATTCCTTATAGCCCATGCCCTAGTTTAAGAGGTGGGTGTTGCTGATGTATACAGTTCAGAGTGGACAGTATAGCATGAGGCATTGTGGGTACAGTTCCATAAAGCTGACTAATGTACGGCTCTCTGCACTGAGCTGCAGTTTGGTCTGAACACACAGTGAAGCTTATCAGCGCCTCTCTGATTGGTTTGGAAGTTCTGAGAGTTACTTTGGATTCAGTTTTTCCTTTAAAAACAGAAAATCATCTGCTCACATGACCTAAAGAAATCCTGTTCTCTCTGCTGCGGTTTGAGCAGATTGTTATTGTGTCTGTAGACTCAAATAATGACCCCCCTCCTCATCCTGTAAAGACTCCATTTTGCCGTAATGACGTGAAATAAGAGACGGGGGTTACTGCAGGAGGGGAGTAAATTGTGAAATGATGGTCAATGGAGAGCTGAGGCTGAACAAACAATAATGTATTTAATGTTCCAGGAGAATTATGAATGCACTCTGTGGCAGGAGTTGGCTGTCTGGCTTTAAAGTGCTGTTGCTGAAAATAATCCTTTCTCCTGCTTCCTGCATAATTTATTAAATGTAGACTTCATTTCTTCTGACTCTATGAAAAGGATCGAAAGGCGGAGGGCGGGAAACGACCTTGAATTAATTATTTAACGGCTCGCGTTGCTTGAATTTGTTTTCTGACAAGTAAGTCAAAGATTGACAAAGCAAATCAGACAGTTTGATTTGCAAGCAGCCATTACTTATTCAAGAGGGGTAATTTTTCTAAGGGGAAAAGTACATTTCAGATATTTGAACAAATGCCGAGTGCAGAACGGAATGACCCGGCACGGATCCTTACTCTGTGACACAATACACATGAATCTGAATACAGAGGCTTTTTACAGTTGTATAAGGACAGTCAGACGTGTTTATATGCTACTAAGCTTAGATTGTAGCAAGTTTTTTAGGGGCAAAAGGCTGCTCTCAAGTTAGTAATAATGATGATTTCGATTTTTATAGCGCCTTTCAAGAACCCGAAGGACGCTTTACAATGGGAGATAGAATAAGTAGGGACAATAAGGCTTGTCAGATTGAGTTTAAAGTCAAGTTTTTTGAAGACAAATTGGTGATAATGTCCCAAAATTGATAAAATTCGACCTTATGTCAAGCTCATGTCAAACATACGTTTTGAATATTGTCAAATCAAGTCTCTTAAGTCTTATTCGGTGCCATTTGTAGCGTCCACATTACGATTTCACAAGAAATGCTTCTCTATAGACATCTACTGAGAAAAGTATTTCTGCGTGTATAGATAAAAAACTCATATAAATATATCATTAGTTTTGCGTTGGCATTCCCTGGATGTTCAGAAAGATGCCTGTGCTGCAGCTTAATGGACTTTAACGCCCTCTCGTTGCTCTGCCATCTTGTTCTGTTTCTAAGGCGTCCCAGCTTGCTGCGTTCAGCAAACAGGTTGCTCCTCATCCAAATAAAAAATGAATAATCACCAGCCTGGTTGTGGGGGCATGCTCCATGATAGCTACATTTTAGACTCTAAACTAAAGCATGTTTAGCATTTTACATCTCGAGTCAGTCAAGACTAATCCAAGCAAGACATGCAGGTCATGTAAAAAAGGCAAGCTTTAGGACTTGTCACATGTATTTGTAAAATGAATGCGCCTTTTTATCCTGGGTTTGAGTCTACAGTTGATAAAAACACAGGTCCTGATCTAGGCCTGTGGTACATTCACTGTCGGTCGGCACAGTGGGAGATATTGGTCCTCCTACAAGAACTAAACTGCATCACAATCAGGGTCTGCACTTACACACAAGCTGTCTGTGGATCTGCATAGTTCAATTAAATACTGCCAACAGTTCGTCGATGGCATTAACATAATTTATTTGTATCAATATTTGACCAAAGACACGGCCAATTACGCTTCACTCCTCTGCTGTCTGCGGTTAAGGAATAGGCCTACATAAGTTTCCTGGACACGCTCCACTGACCTGTCTTCGGTTCCAGGTCAGAGGAGTGGAGGTCCGAGTGTGAGGGACTGTGAGACGACGAGTCAACGCGCATCATGTCTCTGAGAGCTGGCAGACGACACATCATGAGTGAGACAATTAGTATGAATAGGTCCTGTGAGGGGGCTTTTCATTTGGACCCTTTACAGCCTGATCTGAAACACACTGTGAAAGTAATGTGCTGTGTTTCTCTTCCAGAGCTATAAGATGGGGCTTCTGGATCCTTCCTGCAGACACAGAGTCTCCACTGGCCTGCATGGTCCTGATCCACTGTCCATACAGAGACGTATACTGTACGTTATTATTATTTTTTTATTATACTAAATAATACATCTATTTCTAATAGAAATGTGAAATGAATGCATAGATTACAGTGACCGGTATAATAGCTGTGGTGCTGTGGAGGTGAATGAAAAAGCTTCATCGTGTGGAATGAAAAGACACACACCAGTTTATAGGCTGCCTTTTATCATATTGTTTCCAACTGTACATGGGGGGGAAAACTGAATGCTCACATCAAAGCAGTTTGATATAAATAATATACAAGAAAAATAGTATTCTAAGAAAGATATAGCACCTCAAGAGGAAGGCACTGTCCTTGAACTCTTTTCTGTACATTATGTCTTTACATGTATATCTTATGACAATCCACATCACCAAAATAGAAAGATGTATTTACAGATATCAAAACAGCGTGTCATCAGAGAAGACTAACATAAATCTACAAAACACTTTCTATATAGCTTTTTTTTCTTTCAGCAAAATGCCTATGTGCACACACAAAAGTAGGAATAATAATAATATGATGTAAAACCACATAAGTGAGTAAAAAAAAGTTATTTCAAAATACATCAAATGAGTTATAACTTTGACAGATAATGGCAGTGAGAGACAGAATGTGTTCTGGGATGCATCTGTAGTAAAGGGATTCCACCGGCCTCTCGTTTCCAGAGTAAGTCCTACTCCATATGAAGTGTGAAGCACGGAGAAACCGCAGCATTGAGATTCTGTTCTTATGATAAAAACACTAATCGGTTGTTTGCACCCAGGCAGCAGTAAAAAGTCACCGTGCACAATGTGTTATGCAGATGCACGAATATGTGATCTGGGTTAACTTACACCACCCTGCCGCCTTCTAACAAATGCAGACAAAACCAGCGTGTTATTAGGGATGTCCTGAGTGCGCTAGGAATTATGGGGGCTGGTGACTCAGCTTATAAGGCACATCTCCCCCCCCGAGGCTCCGGGAGCATCATAATGCCGTCCAATGAGATGCTGAGGCCACAAAGAGGACATATTGAAAAGTTGCTCCTTGTGTTGTGACGGCTGATTGTAGGGAAATGGACCGTGTACATTATGTGAGGAGTGGATGAAACACAGAGTACATTTCCACAGTAAACCTCTGAGGATCTCGGCTGCACACAGAGATTCTTCCTGCAGTCTTTACAGTGTGATGTGGGATGCTGGTCTCCTGCTGGGACCCTCAGCTGAGTGATGGAGACCTCAGTGAGGGGTCCCCTTCCTCCGGAGCTCCAGAGTGAGCAGACCCTCCTCCCGGCCCAGAGCGTGCTGCACCCCCACCCTGTGAGCCGTCTCTGTGGCCGTGATGTCGATCTGAGCGTACTTGCTGGAGCTCTTTCCTTTCAACACACAACACAGAGATTCTTTTGACTTCAAGTGAGAGACAGGAAGTGTAACATTTAAATGTTCAGCACTGAGGACATTCAACACTTTGCCTTTTGACTTGCTACAAGGCAAGACAGTACTTTTCAGCACACGGCAACCCAAAGTGCTTTACAAAATAAAATAAGACATTTATGAATAAATACAGTGGAAGCACATTATAAAAAGGCATTTCAAAAGCAAAGATAATAAAATAAACACAACTGGTATAAAATACATGGATAAAAGCCATACTGCAGTTTGAATATGAACAACTCATCCAAATGCAGCGTCAAAAAGATACGTTTTTAATCTGGATTTCAAAGTATTAACAGTTGCAGCGGACCTGCAGGATTCAGGGAGTTTGTTCCAGATGGTCGGGGCATACAAACTAAACGCTGCTTCTCCTTGTTTAGTTCTGACTCTTGTAGCAGAGAGCAGACCCGTCCCAGAAGACCTGAGACTCCTGGATGGTTCATACTTTTGCAGGAGATCGTCAATATCATTTGGTCCTAAACCATTCAGTGCTTTATAAACCAGCAGCAGTATTTTGAAATCTATTCTTTGACACACAGGAAGCCAGTGTAAAGACTTCAGAACAGGAGTGATGTGATCCACTTTCTTAGTGTTAGTGAGGACTCGAGCAGCAGCGTTCTGAATTAGCTGCAGCTTCCTAATAGATTTTTTAGTGAGACCTGTGAAGACACCATTACAGTAGTCGAGTCTACTGAAGATAAAAGCATGGACAAGTTTTTCCAAATCCTACTGTGACATTAGTCTAAAACAGGGGTGGGGAACCTTTTTCCTCTCAAGGGCCATTTCAATTTTTACAATATCCTCAGAGGGCCGTACAAATTATTGACCTCTGCTTAAAAAAAACTAAAATCACAGTCCATTCATTTCATTCTGTGCAAAGAAAAAGCAACCTCTTAATCCAGATATCTCACCATGACTCGCGTATGCATGCACGTGCACGGTGTGGCATGACCACCCAAACAGAAAGATATGGACACAAGATGTGTGCAAATGTATTTAGTTTCCTATCCATGTGAACATGATTTAAGTGGGGGGGGGGGGAACTAACCTCCTCTAGGGGGGTCCGGGGGGCATGCTCCCCCAGGAAGATTTTTTTTTAAATGTTGAAGTTAAAAGCATCAATCTGGTGCACTTTGAGAGCAACATGAAGAGATCTATGGAAACATCTCTCAACACCCAGATGAAACAGACCTGTAAGCAGATTAATTTTTCTTTATGGATATTTTACAAATCACTCCCCTTTCAAACTGTATTCTTGTTTATTAATAACAACTTTTTTTTACTGTCATATAGTATTTACCAGTTTACTTTATTCTCTTATTTTTCTATAACTATAATGATCATATAAAGATGTGCCTTTACCTCACTGGTTGTAGAAAAAGCTTCTTATATTCGTTAGCATAGCTAGCTAACCAGATGCTAATAACAACAAAGTTATTGACTGTATGATCTGTATGACAGATGAACAGATCGCCACTGGGCTTTCAACTAAAGACACAGCCACGCAGAAACTGCGTCATGTGTACGGCTCCTTATCGGTACTGCAATATCTGAAGTGGCGTTCTGGTGCTCTCCGTCAGAACTGCACCCCTGTCAATCGAGACATAATCGTGATGACACGTTAGGCTCGTGTTGTGTTCAAGGACCCTGACCGTGGCCAGGAAAAACAGGCACTCGCTTGTTTAATTTTTTTGCGGTCTAGATTTCTTACATTTTTTTCTTTTTTGCGTGTGTTTATAAATTACCTCGAGGGCCGTACCAAATTGTCTCGCGGGCCGTATACGGCCCGGAGGCCGGAGGTTCCCCACCCCTGGTCTAAAAGATATGTTCTTCAGGGCCCAGGCTATCAAAACTTTTAATCTCAATCAGGTCCGATCAGATTTTGAAATCCCATTTTTTGTGATCCAGGATCAGACAAGTTGGCCACATTTTGTCCCTGTAGTTCAAAGCAGTTCAGGATAGGATCACCCTGCTGATCCAGATTACGATTTTTCAAGATGACTAGATCCTGAATATCAGTGCTTTAATCCTACCGATCTCCATCTAGTGGACATGAAAAATAATACAAGGAAGACAAGAGACCACATTGCAGAGACATCTATTGTCTGCAATTACTTTTGAAAGGTGATGACAGATGGTGGACAGTTTTTTTGTTGAAGATATTTTTTCTTTAATCTAAATTACATTTGTGATTGAAAATCTTTGTTGTGATACTTTTATGAGCATAAACATTTATGTCATCAACATTTGGTTCAAAACAAAATTGGCCAACACAAACGTGAGCAAAAAATGAAGAATGATTTGCCATGAAGGCTAAAAATTGTGTATTATTTCAGTTAAACTTTGCCATCTTATTTATATTGAAACATATTTTTAAATAAATGGTACAGTACATTTTGCTCTGGTAATCCACTGGAAATCCACCCCTCTGGTGGGATCAGGATAATCCAGTTTTTTGGGATCAAACTGATCCCAATCCTGTGTTGTCGGTTTGAACTACCCATTTTGAAGATTTGATCCAGATTAAAGCTTGGATTGGATTTCCTGATCTGATCGGATATCAAAGTGATCCTAATCCTGTTTTTTGGTTTTGAACTCCCCAAAATCCAAATCTGATCTGATCAGATAGGGATTAAAAGTTTTGAACTCCTGGGCCCTGGTGATAGTATGCAGACTTAATAACTGTTTTAATGTGACTGTTGAAATTCAGGTCTGAGTCCATCACTACACCCACTGTAGATTTCTGGCTTTATTCGTTGTTTTCAAGTGTGCCGAGTCCGACTGAAGCTCTGCGATGACTTTTAATCGTTCCTCCTTTGCTCCAAAAACAATAATCTCAGTTTGTTCAATTGGAGAAAGTTCCTACTTCCTGCACAACAAAGCGAGCTGGAATAATGATAGTGGATTGACACAGAATTAGCATTTTAGTCGGAGCTTTTCATTTGGACCCTTTACAGCCTGATCTGTGAAAATAATGTCCTCTGTGTTTCTCTTCCAAAGCGTTCTCTGCCAAGCTAGGGCTCCAAGATCCTTTGGACGATTCAACAGACAAACATTTACGTTTTCTCTGCCCTGTGACTCTGCAGTCAGACTCACATACTGTGAGAGGATCTGGCTCATCATGGTGGAGCAACATGAGGAAACTACAATTATATCTAAACCTCTCCACCAGCGCCACTCTAAGCCTAACGGCCCGTCTACACTACAGGCGTCGAAAAAGCTTGAAGCTGGGCGTGTCTGAAGCTTGGCGATTTTTTGCGAGCAACGCGACCAACAACCAATCACATGAATCTCCCGCCCCCGACATACAAAGCAATAGCAATGTTAAAACGAAGTAAACTGGATATAAAATCCCCAAACAGGCGAAAACCTACCAGTTTCACCCACTGTCTCTGCCACCTCCCTCCATGCCTCGCTCCTCCGGTTTGTATCCCGGTAGATGAACAGAGACTGATCATACAGCACCGGGTGATTCACTACCGCTATAATGAATTTTCCCTCCATTTTTTTGAATATGAGGAAATGACCTGCGTAGTCTCTCCCAGCATACACGCGGTTTGATTGGCTAGCACTTGTACTGGCAGATTTGCATAAACGGGATTTCATTGGCTGACGCCAGCTTCGAGCAAGCATCGAGCCTCAAAAGTTGAACATTGTTCAACTTTTGACGCCGATAGACGCTCGCGATGCTTGCAACGCCTTGCCATGCTCCCCACAATGCAGTTCGGCGAAGTTTGAAAATATCCTACGTCACCCCATTCAAATGAATGGGCGAAGCGTTGAAAGCATTTTTTGACGCCTGTAGTGTAGACGGGCCGTAACAGAGTTGTGTTTGATTCCACAGGTGATCCATGTCCAGAATCCAACAAAGGGACCAGGAAAAGTCAGCGGGGTGAAGCTCGTCATGATGTCAGTGCTAAGGTGAAGGGACTCAGTCTAATATGGCCACTAAGGGGTATGAAACTTCATTAATTAAAAGGAACAACAAAGAGTTAAATATGAAAGCCTTTAAACACATTTTACGATTCTTTTTTCTTACCCAAAGAGGAATGAATGCATTTAAAGAGACATACATACTGAATGATCTTTAAATTGTTAATTTAGTTTTGGGAAATACTCTAAGAGCTCAATGTGAAATTGAGTCCAATCATGTTACAAATGAAGCTACAGCTATATAAAGTATGCTAAGCTTATCACAAAGACAGGACACAGCTACATGTATCACTCACTAAATGTGACCCGTTTGTTTAATAAGTAATACAATCTAAATGTACACATTTAGGCAACTTTTCTGTTATTTTGGAACTTAGAAAATGAGCCCGTCTCTCAGAGATGAAAGTGGCTGTAGCTTCAGATTTAGCATACAGAAACAAGTGATATCTTTGCATGCAATCCTCATGTAAGGAAACAGATAAGAATATTGCCATCATTTTTATTGACAATATTGTTGATAATCAATAACTCGTTTCTTCCAGTAGTTCTATATTTGGGTAAATGGGTTTTACCTTCCTACAAGTAAATGCTTGCTGTATTTCTAAATCTTCAATAACAATAAACAGAATATATTTTGGTTTTGGACAGTTGTTCGAGCAAAAAGAGGCTTTTGAAATCTTTACCTCGTACTCTTGGAATGAAAATCTGTGTTACTATTTACTGACATTCTTTAGCTAAAAAATAAATCATTAGTCAGTGCAATCGTAACCCTCACCATTTAAAAAGGATAAAGCACATTCTTGTGAGGTGAGAGAAAAATAAATCCAATTCCGAGAACTGATGACAGATAGAACAAATGTTCAGAGAGACGTGTTTTACAGTCTCATAAAGTGGAGGAAATCAAAACCAGCTCCTAACAACGCATTCATATTCCCTGGAGGAGGGTCCCATTCGAGCTGTGATCTGAATGCCCTGTGACCCCCCCCCCCGTGATATATTAATGTGGCCGCATGCTGGGATATAAACTATACTGCCGACATCAGACATTAACTCCTCTCAGAGCTCCTTGTCCTTCTGAGGCAGCGACCTGTATGTCAATTAGCGCTCTGCGGCGTCTCCATGGCGAGGACTCAGCTGTCTTTCAGCTCCACTCCTTTAACGCTGAACGAGTGAAATGGAATTACCCAACAATCGTGTTATCTCGAGCGACTTTCTGACATGGATAGCGTCGCAGATCAGGAACATGAGACGGACGGAGACAGGGGCCACGGCTGGGGCCCCTTTACTTTAGTTTGAATCGACTCAGGATGTGGACTTTCTTCAAGTTCAAACCTTTGCATTCAAAGGTCTTCCTGCATCTAATCCATTTAAGGTTCTCATTAAATATTCTCATGAATCTTTTACGATGTTCTAATGGCAATCTGGATTTGCATTAACAGGCCTTCATGATTTCATAGTTTATGATGATTGACATTTACAGCGTGTCCATCGGCTCTGCTGTTTTACAGTGCAGTGTAGCAGGATTTAATAAACGTGTCTTATAGAAGGAGTATAAGCTAAGTAAAGTATGGAAGAGCTATCAGTTAAAAGAAGATAGATATGCATATAACAGAAATGCAACATCTTTGAAATTACTGAAAAACTACAACTACCCTAAGGGGAGGAAATACTGCTGCCTACAATTCCCAAATGTTTTTGTGCTGAAACAATACTTAGTATCTTACTTTGAGAAATCCTAACATGTCCGATTAGTCGGATTTGAAGGTTGTTCCAACACAAGCAGACCTAAATAAGTAATAGTGTGACAAAAACAATAGATATTTGTTTTAGGAATCTGACCAGACATTCTTTGCTTTGATTACTTTACTTACTGTGCTGGAAACATATTTAGTTTGGTGCAAAAAGTAGACCTTTCTGAGATCTACTTGAGTTTCAGTATTGAATATTTGAAGTGAAATGTGTATCTGAAGCTTCTCGTTGATTTTCTCCACAGGAGGACTTTGCCCTGCTGACTGTTGATCACATCTGGATAAGGTAGGATCATTATTACTCTACAGAGAAGTGTCCTTACTGTGAGGGGGGTGGTGTGCGACGGTCCCTCGGGTGCCCGGCTCGAGCAGCTCCAGCTCCATGTAGTTGAGCTGCTTCTTGGATGTAGGACTAACAGGAATATTCACATATGTCACACCTTCACTGCGAGGCCTTTCAGGAAGCGCCGCCTCGGCGGGGAACACTAACACGGCACCTGGGGAAGTGAGAGTAACACCGTTTTAATCAAGATCAGGACATGTTTCTGCCTATTCTAACATTTGGTCCTTTCCGAGAGGTGTGAACAGTAGTGCTGTAGCGACGCGTCGACTTCAAAATATCGTCGACGACATATTTCCGCGTCGACGCGTCGCCACCATAGACTGTATATATGGTCGCCACACACACGTGGGTCACCCAAAGCAACAAGCAGTTCGCAATCGCACTTCTAACACAATGGAGACTGAAACGGCTACCACCTCCTCCTCACAGGATTGCGCACGAAGCCCTCAAACGAAAACATCTCGCCCTAGGTCTTCAAAAGCATGGGAATATTTTAAAGTTAGTCCAAAACGCAAAGATATTTATATATTTATATCTCACTGAGACTGCAGCTGGACCGGAAGCAGCAGCTAGCTGTGGTGGCAACCATTAGCAGCTAGCATTTGCTCTCCGATTTTTACATTAAAATGGAATTATGGATTATAAATTCAATAATTTTTTTATACATGGACGTTAAAAACCTATGGATTAACCGATTCAGCCGCGTTTTTTCTCATTTTAATGCCATTGAACACGTATTTTGATCAGATTGACAGCTACGGCGGTGAGACGATCTCCCTAGAAGCTCTGTGAAGGTACGTGTTGTGATGACTGTATTTGCTTCCCCTGTCGCGAGTCCGGATCACTCAGTGATGATACTATGTACCTACATAATCTGTGGAGTCTCAGCTTTAATCGGATATCTTGTATGTGCAGCTACGATAAGTAATAAGGGTACTTTTATCTTGAGTTCTGTGCCAATGTCCGTTAGCATTTTTCGCTCAGGGGTCATTTAGATAGCATTTTAGTTTGCTTCTTATGAGACTTGTGTTTTGTTTTGGTAAACATGGTTTGTATCGTCAGTTAGCTGAGATTATTTCCGTTAATCTGGTATAACACATTAATAGGTTCTTAAATATTAAGATCCCCTGAGACACAGTATCGTGAAACATTTTTTTTTTACATTACGTTTTTTATGAATTGAACAATAGAAAAATAATCGTTCGATTAGTCGACTAATCGATCAAATAATCGCCCGATTAATCGTTTTCAAAATAATCGTTTCCCCCCAGCACTAGTGAACAGTTATTTATACAAAACCCCAGAGGACCAGAACCAACTAGATTTGTGAATAGTATACCGTATCTCCATGCCAAATAACTTCATTTTCATCCCGAATAAGCCTTTAATACACATAAAAGAGGCATTCAGGTGCATCGGGATGACTTTATCTTTATTAAAATGAACAGTTATTTCGCCGCATATTACATGTGGATTGGTTTCCATTTTATTCAGCTTGTTCATTGTAATAAAAACTGTCCCTCTGCTACAGAACTCCACCAGGATTACCTTGACAATACATCCTCGGATAGATTTGTCTTTTCATGGGATTTTATGTCAGAAAGATAGCACCAATCCGACATTTATTTGAAAGGTTTTTTTTGTAATTATGACCTCAATTAAAAGATAACGGTGGAGAAAAGGAGAGCTGGTATTATTTTAACACTTTGTCTGTTCTCCATCAGAAGCTAGAAGATGTCTCCCCCTCAGGTGAGTAACTCTTGAGGCAGTCCTTATCAAAGCCTGCTGTTAATTAAAGTCATTCAGACAGATATCTGCACTGAAGTCTCTATATTACAGCAGCAGATCTGGGATCAGCAGCTCCACTGGCACACTGTGTATTCCTCTGGATTGCCTTCTCCCCCCAGAGGCTCATTTTACATGATCTGAGGCCCCAGGGTTAGATGATGGGATGCATTATGGACATTTTGTGTTATGAGGCAGTTAAACCCAAAGTTATTGCCCTTATAATTCCACCCTCAGCTCCATATTTAATTCCTTGCAAATGTAATGTTTTTGTGTTGGCAAATCAGATTTCTAAGTAAAACCCAACACAGCAGAAGCAGTTTGGGGATTAAACTGAAATAATTTCATATTCTAATTTCTTAAAATGTATAAACACCAACAGAATATTTTTGAAGAAAAAATGATTGAAAAATGTCTTTGAAGGAAAATAAATGTTGCCTCAAACAATTTAACTGAACGCTCTGGTCTGTGTGTTGGACAGGAAGAACTAGAGTGTCCTTCAGTGCTCTTGAAAGGTAAGATTTACTAAACCTAGAAGCCACCAAGGACAAAAGAGAAGAGTGAAATCTGTTTTGCTCAAGGTATTTCTAAGAACCGCATTGAAATATGTGCATATATTTCAACCTGCAGGGCGCATTGGCCAACTCTGCCCGTGTCATCAATGCCAGCAAAGCGTTAAAAAAATGGTTTTTAGTGAATTTGCATAATCTGAATATTGCGTTCTCTCCAAAGAATAGAAAGTAATGAAAGAAAGAAATACTGAAATGTATCCAAATAGATTTGAGTGAAGTGACTTGAAAATAGAAGTGAAGGGGGGGGGGGGGGGACCGGTTTAAGCTGGTTTGCACAAACTGTCAAAATGACAATAATTAACCAGTAAAAGTGCCACAAGAACAACCTGAACAGACGTCTCAGAATTCAAACAAACTGTTGATATAGCGTCATCAATCATTGCTGCTATCTGCCATCTTTCATAAAAGTGTTACCAAACTTCTCTGACATCAACAGTGACTCATTTCAGTTGCCATGGAGCTGACCTCCTTACATAACCTGAACTTGGTTTCCTCCTGCACATCCCCGTCCATTACCTGCTCGCTGAGGTGTGTGTGTGTGTGTGTGTGTGTGTGTGTGTACATACATGGTGACAGCAGCTGGGACTCCTCGGCAGGTGTGCATTAGACTGAGGGCATGTTGCAGGCTGAGGGATGCCTAAGTGGCCGAGCGTCCCCTAACAGCGGTCCTCTCCTGACACAATGGGGTCTTACATAACTCCAGTGGAAGGCTTACATAAAATGCAGATTGATTAATAAGTGTTCCAGCTGCATTGAGCCCTCCACTACACAATGACCTGAGGCTTTTATTCTGAATTATATTAATGTCAACACAAATGACTGAAGTGACTAACACCGCTGCTACATTCTGTCCCTGCAGATACTCTCTCTACTACATCAGAAGGATCCGTCCCCTGACCCAGAAGGCAACACAGGCCCTGGTCCAGGCTCTTATCATCTCACGCCGTGACTACTGCAGCCGACTGGTCTTCAACCTCCCTGAGTTCTCCCACACTAACTGGTACTGGCCTCCCGCGCTGTCAGTGGCTCAGGCCCTTCCTACATTCAGGACATGGTTAACCGTACACTCCAGCACTTCGCTCTGCATCGGCCAATCGGCTTGCTACTCCTTCACTGTAAGCGGGGCCCAGGTACCCCTCAACAAAAACTCAAACCTCTATTCCTAAGAGCAATATGAATGATTTGTAATCTACTAAAAGAAGCATTTGATGTTTTTGTAAATGCATTTCTTGGTTGTTGCTGATGAATCACAACTTTGACCCTGATCTGTTGGCTCCAGACATTATGCAGCACTGTATGCTATGTTCTCTATGAAGACTGTAGGAGCCACATGTGAAATATTTTCTGTGTTTGTTACGGTACATGTTTTTGAGTCACTATAGGTGGTGGGCGTGTCATTGGATTTGTGTGGTTATATCCGGTTGCTTTTACCTGCGCACTTTGTGATAGATGGAGGGGGAGTGATCTGGAGAAGGACAGTTGTTGTTGACCGCACGCATCAAATAATATATGGATATGGGCTATTGAATGTTTGCTTTGGAAATAAAAGGTCAAACGCATACTGGTGGAAAGAGTGAGTTTTTGTGCGTCGTCCACAATGTTTTTCTCTTGTTTAGTCCCTCGCGGCACTTTGTTTGGAATATTACTGCTGCAATAAAGACAGCTTCCTGTCAGTGTCACAGTCCATTAACCTGAATAAAGTCAAGTAGACATTATGCGTATTGTGACAATAAGTGTTCCTGTTTGTGTGCCATTTCAGACACTTAATGCTTCATTTGATTTGATTTATTCATAATGCACCTGACACCAACAGGTTTGCTGACTCAGGAGCATGACTCATACATCTATTGGCTTTATAGAAGTGGCTCCTGGTTACTGTAAGAGGCCGGGGTAATGCACAGCTGAAAACTGACAATGGTCTCACCTTCAGTCTCCTGCAGCAGCCTCTGCTGACTGTAGCTGCCCATCAGCTCGTACTTGCTTTTCTCTTCTGCCTGCAAGACACAGAGCACTGTTGATCAGAATATGCACAATGTGTCATATGTATACAGAGGAAGGGTACACATTAGGAGTATTAATATACAGACGCAGAAATTCACTGAGAGCTCCGGGCTACGGTACGTCTAACACTGTCCGCAACGGCTCATCAGCATGGATGGATAACCAAGCAACCTCTGTGAGAACAGCTATTATGGGATGACCGCCCAGGTAAAAAAATAGTATGCTTAAATTATACTTTTAGAAGAATGTACTAAGTACACTTTTAGATAAATGTGCTATTTTGGTCACATTCAAGTATACTAAAGTGTACTCAAGTAGTACTGGAGTACTACTTAATCATTAGTTGAGTATACTTGAAGTGTAAATAGTGTGCTAAATTGGCACAACTTTTTGTAAACTTTAAGTGTACTAAAGTACACCAGTTAAAATCATGATGTATGTGCATTCGAAACACACTTTAAGCACAATTGTATTATATCACCAGTGTGTTGGAAATATACTTAAAAGGGCATTCAGCTCAATTCATAGTAATTCATAAGTGTGTTTTCAACATACTATTATCATACTTATTCAAGCACACATGTTATATTTCCAATTAACTTCAAATGCACTTTCTGACTGTATTTAATACTTTTAAATTGTGCTATTATGTTAATAAAAATGTATTTATAGTAAGGTTCTATCACAATTTAAGCACCATAAATCCATGTATTTTAAGTATAATGTTATTATACTATATGTAGAAGTGTATGGTATCACTGCTTATACTACAGAATAGAAGTGTATTTTACAATAATGTTACCACTGCAAGTACTGGGTTATGTGTTACAGAAGCATACTTACAATACATCACTATTATACTTCATACACTTTAAGCTACTTCCGGATACCACTTAAGTACACACCAAGTGTGCTATTCTGTTTCATGAGAAATTGCACTTCAATTATGAGAAAAACATAATTTTAATGACATAAAAACAACAACAAACCAAAAAACGTGTTTATACTAAATTGAACAATTAACAAAACATGATGGCTAAACTGACTAACTAACTTGCAAAGTCTATATAAACTAAATGGTGACCATCAGTGAGGAGTAACGTTGCTTGTATATCTCTCGTTGTTGCATTTCCTCCGCAGCAGGGCCCGGATCGCACTCACCTCGGTGCCCGGAATTTTCTCTCTCACGGTGTCTTACAAAACAGGAAGGAAGCATGGGATTTAATACTTGATAACATAGACAATATATTAGATTGAAATCCATTCATAATGATAACATTAATACAGAATATCTGTACCTATAATGGCATTGACTTTCTCCGGGTCAAGGGTCTCTGCGGTTTTCCCCTTCCCAGTAAGGGTAGACTTCGCCAGGGTCTCTTTCCCAAAGATTAGCGTTGCTAGTTCCTGGGCAAAGAGAGACATCCTTCTGTTGCCTAATCTGTGGAAGAGGCGTGTGGAGACCTGGACGGAGGAGTTGCCTAGGAACATCCGTAAAAACAAAGAGGTGGATTAAAACAAGATCAATTACAAATATTGTACCTGTACCATCAAATGAACTTGAATGCTTTGCTATATTTTAAACATACTGGAGATATAATATAATAGTCATGCAAGTGTATTTCTAATGGCAACAAAACATATTTGTAATGGTAAATGGACTGTACTTGTAGAGCGCTTTATCTGGTCAGCAGACTACTCAAAGCGCTTTTACACCATATATCACATTCACACTAGGGCTGTCAAGTTAAAAAAAATGTATCGCCACTAATTATTTTAACGCGATTAACGCATGTGTATTTTTTTTCCTCGGCCGCCCCGTAGTTTCAGAGCACATCGAGTTTAAAATACCATCTACCAGCTGATGCTGACAGCCCCGCTCCTGCCGCCCGCTTGCAGCAGACCACACTTCCACGCTCACCGGCAGGCACCGACCATAGACTGTATATATAAAGGCACCGACTGGCCATCTGGAGGACCGGGAGGGTGTGTGTATGTGTGGCCCGAGCGAGCGAGAGAGAGACCTTACGTGCATTGTTGTTGTTAGCATCTGGTGCTAGCTAGCTGCGCTAACGGATATGGAGCTGTTTAAATGAAAACAGAGGAGCAACATTTCGCCACAACTGCGCCGAGCACTTGACTTTATGCAGGAAGCCAGACAGTGGGACATTGTACGAGAAGTCAGCACACTCAGCACGGATAGTGCGCAACATGATTGCAGCGTCCAGGCAGCTCCCGTTCGAGCATATGCCTTGAGTTGCACATAGCTCCAACGATCCATCACACACACACACACACACACACACACACACACACACACACACACACACACACACACACACACACACACACACACACACACACACACACACACACACACACACACACACACACACACACACACACACACACACACACACACACACACACACACACACACACACACACACCATTTGTATTGTATTATTGTATGAGAGAGGTTCAGAGGTTGTTGTGTTTAATATTCATGAGAATATTTGTCATTGTTCAAATGATAATGAACATTAGCATAAAGCATATTTGTCCACTCATATGTTGATAAGAGTATTAAAAACTTGAAAAATATTCCTAAGGTACATTTAGAACAGATAAAAAATTTGCGATTAATTTGCGATTAATCGCGATTAAATATTTGAATCGACTGACAGCCCTAATTCACACACATTCATACACTGATGGCGGAAGATAAACCATCAGTGGTAACACATTCACTCACATCCACACACCAATGCACAGCATTCTGAGCAATTTGGGGTTAGATGTCTTGCTCAGGGACACAACAGCGCATGGCTGCCGGTGGCGATCGAACCACCGACCTTCCGATTGGTAGCTGACCTGCTCTACTACAGCCTTCCCCCGTAATCAAGTCAAGGTGTACTCAAACAGTACTCGAGTACACTTCTGTATATTATGTGGGGCAGCTCTCGTCTTGGCTTCAAGGGTGTGAAAATACAATTCCATTGATCCGCAGTGATTAATTTTGTATAGAACAATAGCAATAGAGTATCATTACTATGTAGGTCATACCAAGTCATTACTGCCAGTATTGCGGCCAGTTTGCTGGGAGTCACCGTGGCCACTACTGGAACAAGATCCTGATGAGGACGACCCTGAAATGTTGTCCAGTGCTGTCTTCATGGTAGCCACCAATCTTGGCATCTCTAAAAAGTGGGTATAAAAAAGTATCCAGGTGTAAATAACAAATTCAGACATAAAATAGTGTCAACCGCAAAATACTAAATACTATGATTGACCATGGTGCATTCCAACAGTCCTGATTTTCTGAAATTACGCTCTTTCTTTTGCATTTGTTTACTGTTGTATAAATGCAATAGATAGTTTATTTTCAAATTTGTAACATGTGGGAAGTCGGGTCGGGTCTCAAAATAAATGTGGGAATTCATGAATTTTACTTCACATTCAAATTATTGCAGGTGGAGCTTTAATCGGATATATTGTATGTGCAGTTTCGATAAGTAATAAGGGTATCTTTATTTTGAATTCTGTGCTAAAGTGCGTTAGCATATCAAATATTAGTCTCCTTGATTACGGTACTAATAATCGGTATCGGCCTTGAAATAGCCATATCGGTCGATCCCTAATTCAGGTGGCTGCAGAGCTAACCCAGGCATCACTAGTATGCACATGCACCAACCCACCTTTCAGTGCCTCCAACGTTTCCAGATCCAATTCCACCCAGACCTTCTGTGGTTGCTGCTGGCACGCTGGCTCCTTCTGTGGAAGGATGCAAGTGTCTTCCTCCTCCTCACTGGTCACAAAATAACATTTGCGAATCTAAAATGAGAAAAAGAATTTTAGTGCAAATTTCACACCACAAACTGTAAAACTTATATGGGAAACACTGCACATCAATTTGAAAAAAACAGTTAAATATTTAGACCTACAAATGGTTGCTTTTTGATCGGCTCAAACAGGTCAATCGAGGTGACATCAGAATCTGAAGAGTGTTGAGGTGATTCAGATGTCACCTCTTCTGAGGGCTTGGAGGTTCTCTCAGCCTGTAGGGATCTCTTGAGCTGTTCGCCCATGGCAGTTACCATCTGTGAACCAGACTGACAACATACATCATGTTTGAGTGTGCCTTGGAAAATTACCACCCAAACACCAGGCTTAACGCTTGTAACTTAAAACAACATTTCACCCACATTACATTTCCTCATATTAAGACTACACTTTTCCATTAATCCACAGACGTTGCATGTATTTAAAAAGAGCATTTGGTAATTGTAGGATGAAAATGTAGTGGCCTCAAAATACAAAAAAACATGCGTTATAACAAAAAGCTATAGCTGTCAATATCATTCAAGGTGAAACGGAAAATTATTTGTCCGTGAATATTAAAACAATAAACAAAATCAGTCAATGTCATTCCATTCAATCACAAACTATCAATCATCAAAACACACCAATCAAACTTACTGCCTTTCCTTGGTTTGTTTTTTGTACAGCCTCCTTCACATTTTTGACTATACATGTCTTTCTTCTGCTGCCTCTTTTCTGGGACTCGGCTACCGAAAATATGTCCTCCCCTTGGATGTAAGCATCCCGCTTTTGAACCACTTCTTGGTAGACTTCTGTGAACAAGATCCAGTTCATTCTGACATTACAAAATGTAAGCACTTTTTCGTGCACTATTGTTCACACTGATACACATACCATATACAGGGTAAAATGTAAATTATAGTACCCATCCAAAAAACAACCATTATTTAAATGTACCCTGTATCAAGATTGATGCAAAACAAGTTCAATTTGACCTTTTTAGAGAGGTTTAGAAGGAAAAAAAAACCACTTCTGGGGTCATTTGGGTGGATTTGACCTATCTCTGTCCCCCCTTGTTCGATTTTGATGATTGACATCTCTTTTTAACCTTTAGAGCCAATAGAATCGAGGGGACGTTCCTAAAATCCATCTAAACATGACCCATTGGTGAATGAGTGCTGCACCCCTGAACCGGAAGCTGCGATACGCTCTGGCTGCTATCATTAGCAGCTAATATGAAATATCCGGTTTTTACATAAAAATAGAATGAAGTATTATCAGTAATACTTTCTAAGTAACACCGACACATAGGACTAACCTTCAGCCGCGTTTTTATCGTTTTATAATAATAAAATAATAAGTAATAAGGCTATTTTTTACGGTGAGTTCTGGGCTAAGTTTGTTAGCATTTTTTCGCTCAGGGCTAATTTAGATGCTTCTTGTGAGACTTGTGCTTTGATTCGGAAAAAATGGTTCATATCTTCAGTTAGCTGAGTTTATAACCGTTAACTGAGTATGACACATTAATAGGTTTTTAAATATTAAGAAGCCTTGAGAGTGAAAAAACACCGCGCAGGACCCAGATTATGGTTACCCCCGCGTTATTAGCTTCAGTGCAAGGTGAGCACATTCAGTGCCTGCAGGAGCTCACAAGTCCTTATTTACATATGTGAAAATAACAATTAAGATATTATCTAAGAGATAAATATCCCACACCCCTAATTTGAACATATGTTAACGTTATAATTTACCAGCACCTTATACACATTTTTACTGAATAGAGCTTCATAATTGGACTCAAGCTAACGTTAGCTAGCAAGCTAGTTAGCTAGACAATAAAGCAACTCTTTCTACTAGCATTAAGTTATCAGTTAAATTTCTAGAGAGACTATAGCCAAAGTTAGCTAACGTTATAAGGATTTTTTCAGAATCATTTAATTTGTATTTTGAACTTACCTCCTACGAACAGCAATTTGGCTGCAACTGGCTTCGACCCCTTTTGTGGTCGATGTTTGGCAGGCCAAATCACCTCTATCCAGTCGAGGTCGAGGTCTTCCATGCAGGTAACTGTAACTTTTGCAGCCCTGTTTACATCCTTTATGATAGATGTATGTTCTACTCTAACCGACCCGTCTGGGAAATAGAACAGTCCAAATGTTGGTAGGTCCAGCAGAGACATGTTGAATTGTTGTAGACTGGCTGCTCAATTTCTAACAATAACCGTCCGTCCACCGATGCACACTTGGCTCCACCACAGTTGGCGCGCAAACTGCTACATTGTGATTGGGCGTCGTGAGTGACCTGCATCACGTGATGCAGGTCCAGTATTATTCGGTTTCAGCCGTTACTTTATAGCCCTTGGTCTGGTTTAACGCTAGCTAGTTGTTGGAGCTAATGACTAACAATGATATATTTTAAATAAACTCATGGCATCACCTGGGCAGATGGTTGCACTTCAAAGGTGCATGCCCTAATATGTAGTTCAGATTCTGTTGCCCGGCCACTTATCCGAAATACGAAGCAGTTTAATGGAATTTATGGTTGTGACTTCTGTTATCAAAGAGGTGGGGGTCCTTATCCATATGTTAGTCCTGAGCCCGGTCTTCGTACTGAAGCTGAGCATTTTGACAATGCCATGAACGCAACACCTCAGCAGCCTGTCATGGGAGTGAAAGGCCCAAGTCAACTAATGAAATTGGACAAATTTCAAATGGTCCAAGGCTTTGTTCCTGAATACCAGCACAGTGTATGTCTCGGGGTTACTAGACAGCTGGCTACTCTGTGGCTGGATTCCACAAACCATCAAAATGGGTGTTACATAGGCACCAAAACTGAGCTGATCGACAAGGAACGTATGGCAATCTTGCCACCGACCGAGATCACAAGAGTACCACGATCTATCAAAGAACGGACGTTTTGGAAGGCGTCTGAGTGGAGGTCGTTTCTTTTGTTCTATGCTTTGCCTGTTTTGAATGGGATCCTGCCCAAAAAATACTGGAACCACCTTTTCCTTTTGGTTTTTGCCATGTATCATCTCCTGCAAGAAAGGATCAGAGAGGGCGACGTGGCAATAGCTGAACAGGCATTGAAAACATTGGTCAGACAATTTGAGGGGTTATATGCAGGGGTGCACATAACTTTTTTGCCCTGGTTCTCAAAGGAGCACCTGGAGATGTTGCTTGGTGCTCATCCTTAAAATGAAATAAACCGTAACTTTTGAGGGGGTCTTGACTTTATTTGCAAGACACACGCGCTGAACACACATGCAGAGGTGAACACAGAACACACATGCAGAGGTGAACACAAGACAACATTAGCACGACCAGTAATCCTACAAGCTGTCATCACTACCCTCCTGACTGTTCTCCTCACTGTCTTCCTCTCTGTCAGACATGGTAGCTGATGATGTAGGCCTACTACTTTCTCTCTGGTTGAGTCTGTGATTAGCTGCTTGCATCCACAAGTCAACAGATGGGTTTGGGTCGAAAGTCTCTGTTGTCATCTTAGACAAGTGGATGTAATCAAATAAGTATGTGAACATAACCAATAACCTACCATAGCCAATAACAAATTAATATAACTTATTTTATTTTTGTTGTTCATATCTTATTTTACCTTAACATTTATTTATTTATGCTTTTTTTTTTATCTTTCCAGTTTTAAAGGATATTTTTGGTTTACTGTCCTATAGTATACATTGGAATGATTTCAAACCTGTTCATCCCAATAATTATAAAGGAGTGCCTTGTAAATGTGTTTACATAAATTGTGATCAAAACGTTTGAGACCCACTGAGATAACTTAGACTAAAGTGAACTATCTAAACACTCAAGAGTCCTTTACCTCACTGAGCTGTAGTATCAGCCTCTCAGTCTGACTGGAGAGGACTCTCCCTCCACATCATTGTAGAAACATCTTCTTCTTATATCCGTTAGAGCAGCTAGCACCAGATTCTAATAACAACAGCGCCGATACCGGTGCACCCTCCCTCGCTCCCTCGCATTTTGGCTGTGAGCTGCGGGCGCCAGATAAGCCAACATCCCCCATTTTCATCACTTACAGCGCCCATCGTACAGGGCAAATGAAACGTGTAACCGGGGTGAAAAGGGTGTTACATTTACTTAATTATGAATGTTGTTATATCAAGGCCGACAATTAGGATGAGCCCCAACGGTCAAAAATGTTTTTTTCCCTCCCAGAGCTGCCAGCGCAGCGCCTCCACAGATCTGGCGCCCTAGGCGAACATCTATAACGCCAGGGCTACGGGCCGGCCCTGAGTTCATATGCAACTCGCAAATATCTTTCTCTCTCTCCTCTCTCCTCTCTCCTCTTTTCTCTAGTTTCTCTCCTCTTCTCTCTTTTCTCTTCTCCCTTCTCTCTCTCCCTCTCTCCTCTCTCTCTCTCTCTCTCAATGTTGGTACGCAAATGCGCCTTTTTTCAAATGACCCGGTGCTCTTTTTTTGGCGGAGGTGCGCATGCGCACCAGTTATGTGCAGCCCTGGTTATATGGCACAGATAATGTCTCATTTAATGTGCATCTAATGATGCACATCTCAATAGCCGCTTTCACACCGCAGGACTTGCCGTACTTTAGTGCCGGCACTAAAGTACCACGGCACTGAATCCGCCAGGGGGCTAGTGCCAATCGCATTCGAACCGCAGTACTTTCCCTGAGGCAAGATTACGCTGACGTCACTTCGTCTTCTTCTTCTCTGGGTTTACTGGCAGGCCGCAAAACCACTTCACGGCGAGTACAAAAAAAAACGAGAGAAGAAGAACTACACGGGGGAGGGGGTATAAAGCCCACCCGCTGTATGAGGCGTTTGTTTACTTTCTGACCTCAGACATGATGGAGTTCATAAGGGTAATAAGGGTAATTTCCAAATAAAATACCCCATTATAACAATGGACTTTATCTTTATGTATTTATTATATATTACCCCCTCAGGCTGATTTTGGAAAAGGACATTAACCCTTGTTTGGTGTTTTTCCCTTATTTATCTAAAACAAATGACATGATAAATTACTTGTGTTTATGTGTCTAAGACTTGTGTTTCTGCCCCTGCCATTGCTGCACAAGGTTGCAACATTGTAGATAAATTCAACCACCGACACCTGTCTGCTCTCACATTCTTCTATTCTGCAAATTTGGGGGTGGGACACAATAAATAAAGCTTCACCAGTTTGTTTGTTTTATTGCACAGTCAAGACATAACAATAACGGCATCACGCTGTTCCAGGTGTGTCGTATGCATGTAAATTGAAGTTAAATAAAAGTGTGAAATGTAAAATAAAGTGTAAGTAGTTTCAAAACAATGTAACAGTGGCAATATATATAGCAGCAGACACACCTTAGTGCAAGTTAGGTGTCAGTATTAAAAAACAGTGGCAATATATATATATATATATATATAAATAATAACAATAGAAAATCGTTACCACTCTTATTATTGTGGTCTTTAATTTTTTTATAGTCCTGCCTGAGTTTCTTTATTTTTACCCAGCATCCGTGTGCACTGTGCGCGATTCCCAGCTCAAGTAGCTTTTGCGAACATCGCTCAAAACATTTGGAGTTGGGAACTGCTTTCTGTAGAAGCTGCTGCATCCCATCCTCAGAGTAAATTGCCAGAAGCGCCGACACTTCCTCATCATTCCACCGCTCAGGTGTTGTAGTACGTGTGGTCATAACTGCTTTAAAGTACAAAAAAACTACTCGCTCAGGTGTGGATGTGGTTTTGTAGGGGGGAAAAAAATGGCTGCCTAACAAAAAAAAATCAGAGTCTAACGGGGCGTGGTTTGCAATTCGCCCAGCCAATAGAAATAGAATAGAAATTGGCACTCTTTTATCACCAGGTTCGTACCACCTCTCTAGCAGGGACTGAAAATGGCCAAAAGAGTTCCCGGCACTGAGTAGTCCCGGCGGTGTGAACGCAACATTATTGGTACTAACGGAACTAAAGAACCAAAGTACCAGAGAAAGTCCTGCGGTGTGAATGCGGCTTATGAGTGTGAGGAACTGGGGACCTTTGTGGGCCACATCCACATTTCCCTTCGAATCATTTAATAGTTGAAATATTTCAATGGAACAACTCATGTCCCTGTACAGATAATGAGAATGTTCCTTAGGGGGAGGAGTCTCACAAAGAAAGGAGCCACAATAATGCAAAATGCTGATGAGAATATTAAAGATCTTTTCTCTGAACTGCAGGGCAGCAAATGTTCAACTGACAAATCAGTTCAAATCAGTGCCCATGTCAGAGTTTTTGGTAAGTCAGTACAGACAGATCTTTCTGTGTTACACATGCTTGCAATAGAGGAACTACTAGGTGTCAGAGTGAGACAAGCTTCCTACTACTACCGTTTCATTGTGAATGGAATACTGTATCACTCTGACACAAACAGCCGCCTTCAGAAAAGAAAGAACTCTGTTGTAGAGCTGCAGAATGGGACGCTTATCAGAATTCTGAGCTTGGTAGTTTCTGGTACAATACACTGTGTTTTGGTCAAGGAGTTTCTGAAGTCTGGAAGGAAGCTGTGCAGAGACACAACACTTCATATTGCATCAAGCTTCATGTATGAAGTGTCTGAGTGCAACAATGTGTATGCCATACATCCAGACTCATTGACATGCAAATGTGTCATGATTAAGTCGAGGGAGAAGATATATGTTATCCCTCTACCAAACAACGTTGAACGAGACTGATTTGACTGGACATCAAGGAAGCCTCAAGAACTGATTCAGACTATAGGCTTGATGTAATTCACCGGATAACAAATGAGATTAAATAATGAGCCTATAATGGGAAAATAAGTGTACTAATTTCCAATTCTGTGCACAATGAATTCTGTCATTTTGATGTTCTACTTACTAGTATTTTGTAATGTACGAATCCCTAGATTGACTTGTTAAGTACACACAAAAACACACATTTATAAGAGTACTTAAATACATTTCTAATGAAGTGTATTTAAGTACTTGTTATTAAAGCATGCTAATAGGGTATTACAAAATAGTAAAAAAATAATTGTACTTTCGATAAGTATACTTAATGACTACTATAAGTATTTGCGATGTAGTACGTATAGCGAAAGTGTACTTACTTGCAATTCACAATACACTTAGTTTCAAGTACACTTTTAATAAGCACACTGAAATACCACTTTAAGTATTTCAGAAATAGTATATTTATATTTAGTACACTAAAATTGAACTAAATTACATCTATTTTGAATTATACTTTTTAAAAGTACATTTTAAACATACTTTCAATTAAGCACAAAAAGTAGAAGTATACTTGTATACACTTTTGTATACTTACATTATATTTCTAATACACTAAAGTATACTATTTTTTTACCTGGGCGTTGGTGGTGGAGTGCAGCCACATTGCTTTCGGTCTCATTGAGGCCCACTGTGCACAGAAAGAGTGACTCCTTTAGGGGGAAAGGGGTCCACTGATACGACTGTAGTTCATATTTATAAAGAAGGACAGCTGATGGCCAATATATTATTGTTTTCACATCTGATCAAATGAAAATGTATGTACCACTGCTGTTGTCTGCATTGTCTCTGTTCACACTTATTTGACATTGAATCGTTTTAGCGAACTAAAGAGCATTAATCAGCAGATTTGCCTTGTTTCTAAGAGACACAACCAAAATGTTGTAAATGTACATAAATAAAACAATTAATCAACAATGTTAGCATTGGTGCTTTACCTGGTTTTGAGTCAGTAAATGCTCAAACTAAAACTATGCCGATTCGTCAATGAATCTGGCTACGACAACAGTTTACGCTTGAGGTCATATGATCCAAAAGTGTATCTATTGCTGCTTGACTTTTCTTCCTTGTGCCTAACACTAAATAAGTACAGAGCTTACAAAATGTTCAATTACAGATATAACTCTAGCCTTTTCTAAAACAAGAGTTAATCGCATCATATCAGACACTTCCCAACACGTTTGGCTGAACCCACAGAGAGACAGTGGAAGTGTGTGAGTGGTCGATAGTGTAAAGCGGATTAGAGAGTTTTGATTGGCCTACCTCAGCGTTCCTCTCCATGATCTCATAAGCAGGATCAGCTCTGCGTCGCTCCTCTTTGCTATTAAGCCTTTTGTCTGGTGGGAGAGAAAAACAGTGTGTTTTAAATATAAGCCTTTCAACTACTTGTGCCAATGCCAGGAAATAAATTAATCCCACATTGTACTTTCCTAAACCATCTTGTGAATCAAGTCAGAGAAAGTGCTTTCTGGGTACACATTTGTCCAAACTAATCAAACAAAAGCTCATCTCACAATAAAACAACTATTACACATGGGGAGAAAGAATCCCTTCCGAAGCAAACAGTGTAGTGCCATTACTTGTCCTAGAAACATGTTAAACAAAAATCTAATTTACCCATACTAAGTGTTTTCTTTGCATATTTTTGACATACTATACTACGACTTTTTTTCAATATACTATGACATAATTTTGAATATTCACGACGTACTATCCAATGCCGCTTTTTGCACATTTTCGACACACTAAACCATGCTATTTGTGCATAATTTCAACATTCTATATTATGCAGTTTTTCGCAGAATTCGGACATTCTTTACTGTGTCGTTTTACATATTTTAATATACTACACTGTCAGTTTCTTTTCAGACCAACTTGGCAGCTTGTGATTAGGTTAACTTTAACACACGTTTTAAAGCTTTCATAAGAGAGCCTATACTGCATACTTCACAACCCTCAAGAGCTCAGTTGGACAAGCAACACAACAAAAGGAATCATCAGAGTGAAGAGAGAAAACAAGCAGTTCATTCAACAAAGCAAGCCAGGCGGAAAAAAAATTGAGAACAAAAAGTAGGAAACAAAGAGATCCACTTCAAAAGGGCTGAAGAGGAAAAGGACACCGAAGAAATCGTAGAGGCTTTGTTGTGAGTTGAAGAGGAAACTGAAGAAGAGGAGACTGGAGTAGAGGACACTGAAGAAGAGGCCTCTTACCTTCACTGGCCACTGTGGGAACATTTATCTCTTCGTGCTGACCCTGGATCTGTGATCTCTCGCTGGGAGTCTGATGGAGCGCTTCCTCATCAGCAGCTGCTTCCTGCTCTTGGCTTTTCTTCAGGCCAGTTGGAAAGGTTTGGGAGGTTAAAGTGTTCCTGTTGCGGAACATTTCAGAAGGTGCGACCCGTGGAGGGGGGTGGCAGTGGTCCGCTCGACACTTTAAACAGTTCTCATAGATGGCATGTCTCTTGCCTGGCTGTGGATCAGTCGGGACACAGGGGCTATTTGGTGCAGATTTGAGCTCATTTCCAAATCTAGGGCTCATTGACTCATAGAGGTTCAGGCTGTTAGTCTTGGCCTCCGGAGAGCCCAACAGCTCAGCAAGCAGACTGGCTAGTTTCTCTCTTCCCTTCCTTGGCAGCAGTGAATCCTCACTCGTCCTCACTGCTGGCGTCTCTGAGCGGGGGAAGCTTCCAGGGCCAGGAGAGGCACACCGTTTCTCCAGACTTCTCCTCGCTGCATTAGCGCATGGACTGCATGGTGATTTGTTAGCACTTTGATCTGCTGGGTTGAAAATATGATGTTCTGGAGGCAATACACCCTCAATACAATTTGATTTCTGCTCAAAATCAAATTAGGGAGCTGATGATGAATGTTATTATCAAACATGCATCAACTCTGTTCATGCAGGCAAGGATCAATGCATGCTGTGTGTATGGAATATTTGACTGATTTCACGCACCTGGTATGGCAGGCGCTGCTGAACCGCTAACTGGGATGTACGGCGTTCCCTGTGAGGAAAAACAGAGAATTACAGAAATGAGATTCTTAATGCAAACTGTGTTGATTAGATGAATAATGAAGTATCCTCTTCTCGGCAAAGCCTGCATACATTGGTGTTTAGACGTGGGGCCTTTTGAAGGAAACGGCTGTAAATGATCTCCATTGTATTCAACTGGCATCAATCCCATAAGAAAAGAGAAAAACCAACAGAGCGTCGATCCATCTCTCAGCGCTTTCAAAGACTCTCTGACAATCGGTTTGGTCCAAGTGAAGATATTCATTTGGAAAAATGGTTCATAAATACCAACTTTTCATATAAAAAAAGGCAAAATATGTTTCCTTTAACAGCTGGGCATGGTGTTGTTAAGCACACTTGGGAGTACTTTCAGCTGTAACATGTAGTACTAGAGCAGGGGTCTCCAACCTTTTTTAGGATGAGAGCTACTTTCAAAAAATAAAACAAGTCGTGAGCTACTTTTACTTATTAAATATTTAGCACATTTTTATATTATTATCTGCTTACCTTTAACCTTTGTGTGCTCTTTGGGTCTGTGGGACCCGTTTGCAGTGTTTACTAAAAGAAAATGTATGCAATTTTAACCTGCTTGATTTGGGGGTGGACCTCACATCCTCTGGGGGGGTCCGGGGGCATGCACTTTACATGTTAAAGTGAAATGCATCAATCTGGTGCACTTTGAGCACAACATGAATGTATGGATACAGCTCTCAACACTCAGATGAAAGGGAGAGGTATACTTTTCAATAATCCAAACATCTTTAGAATATGATCACAACCAACAACAAATCATTTAAACTTGTTTATTCTTATCTTATGTTACCTAGTTAGCATTCTATCTTTTCATTTATGCATATTTGACTAATCACTCCCCTTTTAAACAGTTTTTTTTCTCTTTTTTTTACTGTCCTATAGTACACATTGGAATGATTTCTTACTTTATTTTTTACAACTAGGCTATTTTAAATAGATAAAGGTGTGCTCTCTCGCTCTCTCTCTCTCTCTCTCTCTCTCTGAGGCTGTGCTCCTCCGTGGCGATGACGGCTTGGGTTAACAAATAATAATAAACATATTTGTAAAGTGGGGGGGACATGTCCAATAAATAAATATATATGCAAGTTGCAACACAGACAACACAGAGTAAAACTCTGCCCCTCATGTGTTGTGCTGGCATGACTAGGCTGTGTTCAATGGGGCTGATGTGTTGTAGATTCTGCCAGAAGGAAAATCACGGTCACACTCCTTATGAAGTGTGCCTTATGAAGGTGCCGCTCCACATTGCTTTTCTTCCCGACTGCAACGCTGGTCCCGCAAATCAAGCAAGAACTTGACAACACAGTACAGAAGACAATTCAGGTTGCATAACATTTTGGATTAATTCAATCCCATCCCTCTATCCTACACCCACCCCCCCACTTCACAAGATCTGGCAACATGAAACGTGTCATGATACAGGGGTTACAATGTATTATATTGTTAGATTAATAGGCAATATATATATGTAGATATGTTTTCTTTTGAACTGGTCCTGTGAGCCCATTAACACTACAGGGCGGACTGTGTGATGAATGCCTCCCACACTGCTGCTGTCTGATGAATTCATGTTTCGTTCATTACACTGAAGACTGGCTGGAGGGAAACAAAGGAAACGGGACATTTTGTTCAGGTCCTGCACTGCCAGCAGGGGGGGCTATATGTTTGGAGTATTCTAAACTCACAGCTGATATGGAAACACAGGACAAAGAAGTATTGATAAGGATTTCCAAAGAAAGTATAGTTTAATATCGGCCTCAAAACTCATGCAATACGGTTTAATAATATGCGTCAGGTTTCTACTGAATTACATCGATTACACTACACCGAAGAATATAAAACTGGTGTTTATGATGTAAGACTATTCATCACAAACATAAAAAAACAAGGTAAAGTTGAAACAATAAGTAAATTATTGTAATAGTGATTGTCAGAAAATTAGTCGTTAACCATTTTTATAGCAGATCTTATGTTTTTTTTACCTCTGGGTTCAGCAATGGAAATGTGAATATTTGCCTATATTCTTAGACATTTATTTATCTAGATATATTTGGGTTTTGAATTGTTGGCATCTCAAAACAAAATATTTCAATATGTGAACTTGGAATTACAAAATATTTATGGGCATTTGTAAATCATTTCTGTCATTTTATGGACCAAACGATTCAGCACAAAATCCCCATAATGAAAATGATTATTAGTCCCTGCCCTCAAACAAATATGAATGAAGGAGACATCTCCAGAACACCATGACCTACCTTGGAGACAACCGAACCTCATGGTTAATATGGAGATGTTTTATGAGGCCACTCCACCCAGCCATATCAATACTCATATTGCCCGAGGCACGGGCCGAGGAGGTGGAGTTGCAGCAATCTTTGACTCAAGTTTACTTATCAATACTAAACCAAAATTAAATTATACCTCCTTTGAAAGTCTCGTTTTTAGTCTTACGCATCCGACCTGGAAAACTTTGCAGCCAATCTTATTTGTTACAGTGCACCAGGTCCTTATTCAGAATTCTTATCAGAATTCTCTGAGTTTTTATCAACTTTGGTTCTTAAAACAGATAAAGTAATTATCGTAGGTGACTTTAATATTCATGTTGACGATGATAAAAATAGCCTTACTGTTGCATTTAACTCTATATTAGATTATGTTGGTTTCTGTCAAGAGTGTAAATAAACCAACCCACTGCTATAATCACTCTCTCGACCTTATTAGTCGAATCGCATAATCCTGCTTTATCCGACCATTTCTTAGTAACTTTTGAAGTACTGTTTCTAGACTACAAAGCATTAGTGAAAAGCTCCTGCAGAAGAAACCTATCTGTTAGTGCTATAGCCACATTTAAGGAAGAGATTCCACCAATACTTAACTCGATAGCATGTCTGCATGTAAGGGAGGAAACTTATACAAAATGTACACCACCCCAAATTGATCATGTTGTTGATAGTGCTACAGATGCGCTGCGAATAAAATTAGACTTTGTTGCTCCTTTGAAAAAGAAGAAAATAAAACAACATAGATTAGCTCCATGGCATAATGCCGAAACCCGCAAAATAAAGCAAAAGTCGAGACAACTTGAAAGGATATGGCGTTCCACTAAACTTGAAGAATCTCGTTTAATTTGGCATATTACTCTCAATGAATAAGAAAGCACTGCGTAAAGCGAGAGCAGCCTACTACTCTTCATTAATAGATGAGAATAAGAATAATGCAAGATTTCTTTTCAGCACTGTAGCCAGGCTGACAGAGAGCCACAGCTCGATTGAGCCTTCTATTCCCATAGCACTCAGTAGTAATGATTTTATGAGCTTTTTTAACGATAAAATTGTTACTCTTAGAAACAAAATTAATGACCTCTTGCCTTTGACCAGTATAGTGTTATCAACAGCTCCCGGAAACGTAAGTTCTAATATTACACTAGATAGTAAACTAGAATGCTTTTCAGCCATAAACCTTGAACAATTAAATTCAATGATTCTCTCTTCTAAACCATCAACGTGTATCTTAGACCCGATTTCCATTTCTTACCTTAAAGAACTCATTATACCCTACTGTCCTACTAGGGTATTGCGTTCCAAGAATGCAGGGTTGTTCCTAGAGTCTCTAAAACAGTGGTTCTCAACTGGTCAGGCCTCGGGACCCACTTTTTACTTGGTCAATACATCGCGACCCAACATTTTGAAGCACTCAAATCTATTCAACAAAAAATCGTGCTGTAATATATACGCTTTTCAGCAAACAATATTAATAAAAGTGAAGTACAGTGCATATATCCCTTATATCCCTTAACAGAACTAAAGTATGCTTTTAAAAGGTTTAATGAGATGATGGAATCAAAGCTGAACTATATAAAAAGGCACGCATGCTGAAAACCCAACCCCAGCAGGGGGTCTGGGGGGATTCTCCCCCAGGAGATTTTTAGAAATAGTAACATAAACTACGCATTCTGGTACACTCTGAGAAGAAAATAAATAAATCTATTACTACCCGACATATTAATAATATTTTATGCCATTGTTTGTTTTCACTTTGTTCTGACATCTTTCTGCGAGAAGAGTAAAGAGGAGATAGTCTGTGTGACTTACTTTAAATTGTGGGTTAGGGTAGATAGCCCCCATTGTTCTGTGACCTGTCAATCATCAGACGTACCCATGGATGTATAAAGAAGAATTCTACCGCAAAGTTATTCTCCGTGGGGACTTCCGGCAACAATCTTGATTCTGATTGGCCAGAAGACTCGAAAAACCATCAGCAAAGATATTTTATTGGGAAGATGATCACTACGTGACAGAAGTTTTCAACACCGTTTATGGTCTCCGGTACTTCCAGTCCAACGCCGACTGCATGCACAGCATTAGAAAATCGGGCCTTCAAAAGACAAGTTTGACTTTTTCCCAAAACAAAAAAATTCAAAATCTTTTTTTTTTTCAACTTTTTTTTCTTCACTCACACATCTGCGACCCACTCGAAACGGATCCGTGACCCACATTTGGATCGCGACCCACCAGTTGAGAACCACTGCTCTAAAAGTACAATGGGAGCCAGAGACTTTTCTTATCAAGCTCCACATTTGTGGAATTAGCTTCCAGTTTGTGTTCGGGCGGCAGACACCCTATCCGTTTTTAAGAGTGCGCTTAAGACCTTCCTTTTTGATAAAGCTTATAGTTAGGGCTGATTAGATTCAGCCCCTAGTTTTGCTGATATAGGCTTAGTTTATCGGGGGACATCTTACTTCTTCCTTCTCTCTGTCTATACCTGTGTACTCTCATGTTCCGATTAACCCAGCTTCCCCAAATGTCCTTCTTTTTGGTGTCTATATACGCCGGGATCCGGAGTCATGGATGATCCTGCGGTCCTGTGTCCTGGATCGCGAGCCCTGGATCTTGAGTCGTGGCTGGATGGATATCCTCGTGGATTCATCTTCCTATTATACACACATGCATTTCCAAACATTTGGACTACCTATGTTGCAAATGTATTATCTTTTCAATTTACACACGGCATCTATTGCACGTCTGTCCGTCCTGGGAGAGGGATCCCTCCTCTGTTGCTCTCCCTGAGGTTTCTCCTATTTTTCCCTTTAAACTGTGGGTTTTCTGTGGAAGTCTTTCCTTGTACGATGTGAGGGTCTAAGGACAGAGGGTGTCGCATTGTCATACTGATATTCTGTACAAACTGTGAAGTCCACTGAGACAAATGTAACATTTGTGATATTGGGCTATATAAATAAACATTGATTCATTGATTGATGTTTTACCTTAAAGCCTATTTATCGTTGGTATAAAAGCCCTACATACATTTGGACGACATTCTTTTTGGAGATAACACAAACCTTTTGCCTAACAGTTTTGAATCAAGAAATAAAATGGATGTAGAGGAAGTGAATAACGGCACTCACAAAGTCTTAATCAGCTTGATACAGTGACAGGGTCAAACTAAATTAGCTGCTGAAACGCTCACTTGTTAAACAGACGGACCATGGGACTGCATGTTGTTTTGACACCGAACGCAAAGGTCATATTGACAGCGGGCGATGGAACAGATGATACAGGGAGGAGAGCGCCTGCTCACACAAGCTGCTGTACAACAGGAGTTATACAGCAGAGTGTGCTCAGGAGAACATTTGAATCCTGTGGCTTTCTTTAAAAAAGGTACGTTTTGAGGCAAACAGACTGATGACGAGAATATAAGTTTACTTATATCTGAGCTGGCAGAAGAACGACATAAACAACATAAATATATTTCTGCTTACCTTAAATCCACCACAAACGGAGCAGATGGTCACAATGGTTTTGGGGACCGATGTGTCACTAGAGGGCGTCACCTTGGTTTTCTTGCTCTCCTCTGAGGGGCCGTCTAGTTGTACATTTGTTGACTGTGTGTCAGTGTTTTCTGAGTGACCCTCGGGGGTCTTGGCGCTGCTTTGATCCCCCTGTGCTGAGTCTGTTGTTGGGCCTGGCGAGGCAGTAGCGTCCTTAATTAGCATGGAGGGTTCATTGTCTCTGGCCGTGGCCCCCCCCACCCCCCTCCTGTAGCACACTCCTGGGGCTGTCGTACAGATACCTCAGTGATGAAGGTGTTCGGTATTCATGTGCAGGTGCAGCGGAGCAAGTACAGGGGCTCAGGTCTTGAGCCAAGTGGGGGGGCAGGCTGAACACAGAGCCGAAGTCCTCCCCGGGGGGGGAGGTCCAGGCTGCCTGTGTAGGAGGAGAAGCTCCCCGAGTAGGAGGAGTGGCTGCCGGTGGCGATGCCGCTGTCAGAGGAGCTCTGACGGCCGATCTCCTGGAGCGGCCGGGGGGTCTTGGGGGCGGGCCGGGTCACCCCCCCCTGGGTGACGGAGAGCTTCTCCATGCTCTGTAACGCCAGTTTAGCTCCAACATGGCCGACGCTTTCAGATGGGTTGGAGGACGGCTCAGTCCAAATGGCCATCCGGCTGCTCATGCTGCTCTCTGATTGGCTGGTGTCTGAAGCGTCCGAGGAGCCGGACATGCTGCGGTCGTCCCCCCCGGCAGACGCACAGTACGACACTGTCAAGACACACAACATTAACGACACTTTGATGAATGTATTCAACAGCTGTAACAAAACAACTTTTTATAATCAATTAAGCATAGATAAAGCATCACAATATCATTTATCTTGTCACTTGTATCCATAACATAACATGAATAATACATCACATGTAAGAGAACTGACGATTCTGCTAACTTAATTGAAATGTTAAGTGCAGCAGCATTATGTTTTGGTGTGGAACAGAGATCACTGCAGTGAAAGAATGATTATGTCGTGCTTTGGGATGGTTATTACATGTCGGGATATATATTCAGAGCAGAGTACTTTTAGCTTCAGCTCCAACTTTTAAACCACAGTAACATGCTGTACCTGTGCTGCTCCGGTGAGAGAGCATGCTCAGTCGTTTCTCCAGCTCCTGGGCGTCATGGTTCAACTTCTCCTCCGAATTCGTCTGACTGCCACTGGGGTCTGTATGGAGAACATCAACGAGTAAGTCACAAAGGCTTAATTTATATATATATATATATATATAGAAATCTACAGACTTAAAACAGCAGACCTTAAATTAGCGCAGTCAAAGTAAATAAGTGACGACACGGTAAGATTAGCATGTCTTGCTACTGTCACTGAGAAGTGGGATCAAAAGAGACGCAGCTGAGGACTCTGAGGCACAGCTGTGGAAACACATCCAACAACAACAACAACAAGGGACACTTTGAACCACAAGGGTCTCACTCACAATATAGTTGAATAATATGTGAGCAACAAGATGTTAGTGAAAAGACTAACTTACAAGCACTTTGCCAGGAGTGTTGTGTACTATGATTTGGCCTATGAGTATAACAGGGACGTAAAGAGGGTCACACAGGGGACAGTATTTATGCAACATACAGGGTTATTTTTAGCGCTGCCACGTGGCTGTGTCGGTACGCGCTCTGCTGCTCGTGCTGTTCGTGCTGTTCAAGGATCTCATGTACCCGCCACCGCCAAGGTCAACTTTAAAACTGGATCGATACTTTCCCTCGACCCCGCAGCAGTGACGTGGTAATGACACCGAATTCCTTCATGTGGAGGATTGATTTACAGCACACAACACTGTTCTCAAATAAAAAAACAGACTGGGGAAAAACGTTATATTAGTTTAGTAAGCCTTGCCACTTGTGGCCCTCGTCTCATTAAGTTGCATGTTTTTTAAATCCTGTCTTTATCTTGAAGACAAGCAGCTGTTTGTGATACTAGTGTTAATACCATTTACAGTATGTGCTGATTTTAATTTTCTTCAATTCAAATAGTTAATAAAGCTTCATGTGTTCAGGAAATGTACTTGTCCCGAGGAACACTATCTACAGTGTAGTTTAGAGGATCATATTAAATGTTTTACTATTATACTTGTAAATTCTAGCGAGAGCGTTTTGATTAAATAAATTGTTTCTCATTATAACTTGATTTTTTAATCATATTTTAATTTCATTAGGATAAAAATGTATCTTGGTGCTTTCAAAGGCTCGGTGTGGCATGTAAATCAAATAGTACAAAATGTGCCAGAAGAATTATAATCATTTCACACTGGTTGTCATGGCTGCAACCAAAAGGTATTGTTCTGCCTCTGCTGGCACTCAAAAGCTGTGAAAAATGAAATCAAAGTTTCCCACAGCATCTCCACTTACTGCTGCTGTTTACCAGCTGAGTGAGAGTCATCAGTCTCATATGACACCCTCACGCCTTTTAAGAAGGTTTCCCTGTGCAACCAACAGCCTCCCAGCATGACCAAAGAACAGCCAGAGATCAGAGGACTGGGGTAATATCTGTTTGACTGACAGGTGTCCCGGCCTATCACACAATGAATTTCTCGGGCTTACTTATCCTGGCTAAGCTCCTTTAGACTAACGCCTCCTCCCCTCTGACCAAAATAGGATTGTTTTGGCTGCTGCAAACAACACTCCTTCCTACATGTATGTCACGTCTGCGGTTATGAGATAAGGAGGAAATACACCGACACTAAAACAACTATAATAGGAGGATAGAATTGTAATCACCAATCATGAAATAGTTTATAAAATACTAGTTTGAAAGGAACAGTTTGACATTTTGGGAAATACGACTCATCTGACGTTAAATATGAAGCTATAGCCATCAGTTGGTTAGCTTAGCCTAGTATTAAGATTGGAAGCAAATGGAACTTAGCTACATACATAAAATGAACTTGGTTGAAAGAAATCCTAGTTATATACATTCTCCTCTTTATATTGAAGCAGCCATTTTAATGTGTATTCCCTATGGCTTGATTACTTGTTAAGTAATGAGAGGCAAAGAGAGGTGGATACAGTACAGCATGAAGGGTGACACACATCAAGGCAATTCATGAGAACAGAGGCGGAGAAATGTAGTCAGGAACAGAGACACAGACTACTAGGTGAGAAAGTGAGAGACACAAGAGTGGTGGGGGGCTGAGTACGATATGAAGGGGGGGGGGGCAGCAGTGGAATCCTGGGGATGAGGTTACATACATGCTCGGAGTGATTAGGAGTCTTTGGCTGCTCTGCTGGTGTGAAGCAAGTCTTTGACCTCTCGCCTCGACATCCTCCCTGCTATTTATTCTACTACGCAGCACAATAATAGGAGTATGAGCTCCACCTGTGATTGGGCGGCGAGATGTGTGAAAACCAGAATATCCACGAGGCCCCGCGGCTGCGTGCCAAGCTCTCTGTTGAGTGGCACTCTGGGAGAGATTACTTTCTTTTTTTTGTGTTGAAAATCAAAGTGTTAAAGTGGACAGCAGGAGAGCAGAACATGTCTCACAGCTTTAGTAATATTAGACCTGGCATCCAAGCTGGTAAAATTACGAAAAATAAAAGCATGTAAATGGTCAATAGAGACATTTGAAAATAATATCAAACCAATGTTTAGAAGAAGACAGGAAAACTCTCCATAGAGTCGAGGATTTTAAAGTCGAGTGATAATTCTCTCTGTTGATTCGTCACTACTTTTGTTCTTTTCCCATCTTAAGCCCCATTATTAATAGCACTTCAAAGTTGAGGAGGAACATAGGCTCTATTATTCTTCATTATCAGTGTGTTGTTATAATTTGACTAATAGGTGGATTAACTCCGAAAATTGTGAATAACGCTAAACACAATTTCCCTGAGACTACACTGATGTTTTTCCAAATATTAGCTTTTCCTGCTCAACAACCCAAACCCCACGTTCAATCCCGTAACACAAAGAGAAGCAGCCAATCTTCAGTATTGTGAATCTGGAGCCAGGTGAAGGCTGCAATCTGTACACAATCGATTATCCTATTAGGGATTCATTTTCTTTCAGCCCTGGCATTATGTTACAAAATCACAGAGGAACTGCAGTGAAGAAGACAACTTTTAGAAAGTAAACTAGTCTCTCCGTCGGGTTTTCCCAATGGGTGGCAGGAGAATAGCGGAGGACGAGCCTCAGCTGAAGCTCATTATAAAAACAAACTTCACTGTTGCACAGAAAGTTTAGAAATATTCCATTCTATTATCTTTGCAAAACCTTTTCAAGTATTACCAAATGGAGATCATGATGTCCACACATTGAGTCATTGTCTATCATTTAAGGAGTGTGCCTGGCACCTTGACAAATTGTAATCTTGCCAGACAACCCTGCTGTAATACGAGGTTAAAAAAAACATAATGGCAATTTGGAACGCAGTCCACCCCCAGCACTATACCCTCCACTATACATAGACTACAATTCAATTTGCTACCTTAACCACAGTTAGTACAGTAGTCCTCTCTCACTGGTGTATAAGGTGACCCTAAGCTCTATATGCACCCCGGTACACTTAAGTCAGGGGTTAGGATGTTTGACTACAGTTATAAATTGCTGCTTAGGGTAACCCAATTACATAAAAAGCAGCTGTCAGTCATCATTTGGTGACTTCAAAGCACAGCGGAGGAATCGTCTGACTCATTCTGCCAAAAAGGGTTGGATTCTAGGAAGGCAGCAGTCGTAGCTCTGACAGTTCCTGGAGGCCCCGGGGGGGAGCCGCGCACACTTCGATTCAGTTGAAATGGCAAGTGTTGACTTAAGTGTTTGCTCATATTCCTTGGCAACAGCGAGGCTATCCATTAACTGAATAAGCCTCACATGAAGACCCACCTTCTCTTTAAATAATAGCACTTCAACTTAACGTTCCCCGTCTCTATAGATCTCTGACACCCTGTTGTTTCTCATGTCCTCTCCAGTGAAACAGCTCCGGTACTGACCTGGCAGGACGGGCCGCAGTCCAAACGGGCCCCTGGTGGGGGAGATGCCTCTGACGATGCAGTCGAATAGAAAGCTGATCTGCTCGCTCTCAGCAGACGAGAGCAGAAACACACCGGCCCCTGTAGAGAGCACACTTTATTAGTGTCACGATAGATTTGCAGCAACAGATATACTGTAATTAGCACAATTGTACTATTTGGTTAAAGGCCAAAGAGTCATGAGGGAAGTCTTAAAACAGGTGGTCTAGGGGTAGAGCAATGTGAGAATTTGGTTAGGGATATTGCCAAATATCTGGAACATGCTCCCAGAAACCTGCAGGTCCGCTGAAACTCTTAATACTTTTAAATCCAGGCTGAAGACTTTTCTTAGTGCCGCTGCTTGTAATTGAGCTATTCACATCTTACACTGCACTGTAACTTTTATTCATGTACCTGTGTTATTCATGTCTTATTATCTTTGCTTTTTAATGTTTCTAATGTGTTTTATGCCCTTAATGTCTTTCATTTTTATGAAGCACTTTGAATTGCCTTGTGTTGAAAAGTGCTATATAAATAAACTTGCCTTACAAGAGGCAATAAATAAGAAATATATCACAAGAAATATGTATCATTTGAAATCCTTGAACTGTAGCGCCAATATTATTGATGTACCTGCCACTATGACTATTATTATATGACTATTATTCACATCATCCTTTACTGGGTGGTTCTATATCTGACGTCTACCTCTTGTCCCCTGAAGTCATTAGGAATAATCAACAATGCTGATCCATTAAATAAACACTTCAGTCCGGAGCAACCGATCGACTGACGTCCCTCAAGCCATGCTGCTTTCAAAGCTTTCTATGAAAAATGATTAAATATAAAATATTTGCCGGTTCGTTTTCTGTCGAATAGATTAAATTGTGTTATTGTTCTGTTTGGGCGAATACTCAAATGATCTATTCAAAGTACCTTTCTTGGAGAAATAAAAGCGTGTTTTTTCTACAAAATCTGAAGAGGCCATTTGGGGGTTTCTAAACACTAAAACAAGGTTATATAATCAAAGGATAAGTAAGCAGATCTGGCCAAGCATTCGTTACTTAATAATGTTTTAATACCTGTTTGTATTGAGGTTTGATACTCAGCACTTATATTCATTTGTCTTTCATGTCAATGTAGAATGTCATCAAAGGGGAATAAGAATGCAAAGGTTAAGAGGTCACGCTCTACAGAGGTCACCTGACGCCCTGTGACAATACAACTGGCTTCCCATTACGAGGTGTCACCATTAAAGAGTCGCTGTGTCGCCCTGTTCTTGGGACCACCCATGTGAAAGCTGGCGTCAATCACATTCCCATCCCACCCCTCAGTCAGCAGGGCCAGAGGTCAGCAGTAAAATCCGCACAAATGTCTTCACCTGTCCAAATTGAAGATGTATTGCCTGCTGAGGTGGATGATATGGATCTAATTAAGATGAAGTGATGCATTACATTTGATACTGTCGTCCCTCTGTGAGAGACTTCTGCGGTTAGACCATGGGTTATTTTCCTTATGAGGATTAACGTCTCATGTCATGCGTTTGCTAGCAGGTGACTGAACATCAGGTGCACGGCCAAAAGCTACCAAAGAGAACTCAAAGCAAAACAAAGGACAGGTGGCAGCAGGGCTCATGTAGTTACCAGTTTAACAGTGATTCTGAGTAGAAACAATAACCACTCACACAGACCCCTCAGGTGATAAAACACAGCATCATAACAAAGTGACGGAGGTTGTTAAATGTGTTTGGGAGTGGGAAATGTAAACTAGCTAAGAGTCTTCATAAGAGCAAAGGCTGGTCTTTCCATTTTCACAGCAGCAAACGCATCCATGCACACAATTTCAATCAGGCTGCAATCATATTCATTTCAACCACTTTTTTCTTTTGTTACAAAGGAATAAATTAAGTCAAATTAAAACAGAAATAAGCAGAAAAAAACACTCATTTCCATTTCAGAAAATCTTTTAATTTCAAAAGCTGGAGCCAGATTTTAAGTAATTTATTATTCTATTTTCTTCGCCTTTTCCTGTCATTGATGTTTGATTCGACTGCTGTAATGATGCAATTTCCCAACATCTTTTAAATGTATAAATCCATTTGAATGTCCGACTTGTGGCGGATTCATTTTCCGTCTATCATTCTCCATCCGATTCATTATTTTAGTCATTATATCAAGAGCGTAAATCCAGCCCACTTTGGCTACTTGCATTTACTACTAAAAAAAACAGAATCATTTAAGAGTTAACTCTAGCAGGACATGGACCAAAGGTCAGACAAATGAAGCTACAACCAAAGCGACATGTCCAACCCCCTTACACAACTCCTCCTTCTGCGGCGGATAAACTGTGCCGAGAGATTACATGTCACAGGAATGCGCGCCCTTCAACACTCCAACATCTTCACGCACACACTCACACACACTTGCCTCTGTTGTTGCTCTTTTTCTGTGCATACGTTGTTTGTGATGTCTGACTGTGTTCATATTATCCAAGATCCTCTGCTGGAGATTCAATGGAGCTGAATAAATCATATTTGGCATACTGGAGTGTCATGTTTCCAGCAGGGTCATGGTGTGTCCGTAACACTCTGATGTCTCTGTGCCCCCCACCCCCTCACGTCAGCCCCTCCAGGTGTTGACATGCACCCGTCTCTGCTTTAATGGTTTCACGTCTGTTACAAGATGTAAACTATGTTCTACCCGATCACAGGGGCACGCGGACAGAGCTGTTATAACTGAGGGGTAACTTCTGTTTCTCAAAAACAACTCCTCTGACATGAGGCATGATGTTGCATTGTGGGCACAGCAGGGGGGAATCTCACAGACTGAATCATTTCCTCCAGTCATGAAGCAGCTGTTTTACTAATGCAACATGCAATGAGTCAGAGAGGACAACATTAATGAGGACAAGTGAAAAATGTCTTAGTGCCACTCGCGTCTTCTGGCTGCCATTACTCATATTGGTGAATGTAATAACCGATAGCCCATATTTCACATTATATCCATATGTAATAGCTAAACATCTCACTTTGACACCATGAATGAATCTGCTGCTACAGGCTCTCCACACGTGTTTTAAACAGGGCTTTGGGCCCATTCAGTCACATGAGCATGGCTGAAATCGTTGGACAATAAGGACTGGATCAATTGGTGTTGGATGAGTTAGAGGAGAGGCCAGTCAACTTCTTCCACAGAAAACTGCAAGTTGGAAGCAACCGTTGTTTTAAAGTGATTCCCTACCAGGGTGATTCTACTGTGGCTACAAGAGAGTGGAGCATCAAATCCATTGTTGTTTTTTAGCAGGAAAATACAGAAATAGTATTAAAAATGTGAGACTTTGAAGTATATTTAATGTCACAATAACTAACAACAACCAGCTATTAGAGAAGGACTAGCCTTGGTTTCCCATTAGTCAGGTGTCATATTTTAACACTGTGTGCTGGGATTAAGATTGCAGAAAAGAAATAAGTAGTGAGTAAACAAATGAGTTAAAATGGATAACTTTAGGTGATGGATAAATGGCTGAAATCTGTAGCTCCAAGTGGAGGTAGAATAATGCCAACCAAGCATAAAAAATGAAATCAACATTTCCAGGATCATTATGACATGTATGGGCTCTGATTAACAGCCACCGACCCACCAGGGGTACATGCCCCATCTCACAAGGCAGGGTAACAAGTAATTGTACGCTCTACCATTCTGATATCTCCTAATTGGAACAAAGTGACTCCATAAAAAGCAGCTCCAGATAACTGGCTGTACAGCGTGTATTTATCTGAGTCTTCCACAATGTGATGGTACCGGTAAGAAGCCTCTCTATCAGCGACACTGCTGGATAAACGCTACAAATGAATCATCGTGAATCACAGACAGTTATTATTTGGTCGGTTGGAGAAAGACATAAGAAAAGCACAGCGCAGATTCACATTTGTTCAGCTATTAGCCTCTAATGATGCAACCCGATGTTTCCAGCAGACATTGTTGTCATGGCATGGTGAAGATGTTGATGTTCCAATATGATTCAACAGTTTGTGCTTTTATATCTCTTATTTTAAAGCAGCATTAGCTAAATGAACTTATCAGTGTGACTACATTTTGATTGCACAATGTAATGGCTGTAATAACAGCATCAGCTGAAAGTGGTTCCCCATTGGGAACTTTCTGCCAAGAAAATAAACCCTCCATTAACAGCACAATGGAAGTGCGTCAACCATTGGGCAAGCAAACCAGAAGGAGAATAGCGGTTTTGTTTTCCCGACTGACCAAAAAAATCTGCATTATTAGAATCCTGACAAGATTCATATTTGCATTATCTTGTGAGATAGCCAGGAAGGGAATGCTAGGTGGGGGAAAGTTGGTAAATTGTCTATTGTGTTGTTTTTTTAATCTTACATGTTCTAAACACTTGTATTTTAGGTGTTGAATGTGCAATGCTCAGTCAACTTTCACAGTTCTTATAATTCCTTTAGTTCCATCTCATGCTTCCCAAACAAAAGTGTGCTGTTACAGCCAAATAACCAATGATCCTGATGTATTGAAGAACCATCTGCCAAACACAGAATCCCAGTTAATGACCGAAAACTAAACACATCCAAATGTAGCATGAGAGCAACAACATAAAGGCTATAGACTTACAGTAACCACATCTTGTCCCTCCCTCGAACACAAATCCGTTGGGTACGGGTCCATATCTGCGCAGGTCTGGGAGGTTCCAGTGTCCGATGATAGCAGGCGGGACGTCCCGGGCTAAAGCCAGCAGGTTGTTGCACAGATGAAGAGTCGCAGGCCCACTCTCCAGCTTGGTCCCCGGTAAGACTCCAACACTGAATCTGTGAACTAAGCAAACAGAGAAATGGTTAAATCATGAAGAAAGGCAAACAGCTTCAATGCAAGACTTAGAACTTCGAGCATTATCTAACAATTGTCACACTGTTATGTACAGGTGATTGAACTGCCCCATAATAACCTGGTCAAATAAGACATTGACACACTGAAATTAGAAGGTGCTGTTAGGCAGATATCGTAAACCTTTAATGAAAATAAATAACAGTATCCCCTGTTCAGGTGTTACATTTGGAAAACGTGCAGTTAACTCAATATTGAAAGTCTACGGGATTGACCTTTTGAGACAAATGAGTAATTTGCGATATTATATAAGTGCATTTGAATTAGATGTTTCCCTGATAATACTATATTGTAAAGAGAACAAATGCATGTTGAAGCCGTCGGGAAGAAGGCTGGTTACGTCATCTGTTAGCAGCCTAATCAGAGGTACTATTGACTTGCATTATGGTGTGTTTATGTGTGCCTAACAAACTGCCTGGACTTCTGTCAGAATCCATTGACATGCAGGGGAACAGAGTCCAGGCAGAAATTAGCCGCAATTAGTCTTCACATGGGACAGATACACAGTGTCCTTAAAAATGATTATTTCAGCACGGTTTTGATTTCATTCCTCAATTAAAAGCAGAAACAGCTGCACACACAGGGAGTGAGATCAGCGAGCTAACTGTGAACACAGCAGGCTCAGATCTAAAGCCCAATGCAATCAATCACAGCTTCACAAACATCTGTGTCATGTTGCTTCTAAGAAACAAATGAGGTTGTCAATAGAAACAAGTGCATTTGTGTTTCTGCCTGTGAGTTTGTGAAACTTTATTTAACTCATGTGTGGGGTTTCCCAATGGCTCTTAAGACATTAACTGCGCTAAGCTAACTCCGCAGGTGAGGCAGATAGAGGCGATGATGAGGAAATGTTGACAGGATGCGTCATGTCATTACTCAGGTTAAGGAAGATTAATATGTTGTCCCAAAGAACAACAAAAGCTGTGCCCAACAGTGGCCCTCAGCCCACAGTCTGGCAGGTGACATTTCCAATAGCTGGACACACCTTCGTCAACACACACTATAATCTAGCTTTCTCAAAACACACACACACAGGAGCATCCATACAGGCAAGCAAACACATATATTTACCAATGGGAAGGAACAACTGCTATGCAATTTGTCTCTAGCACCATGTCCTCTACCCCACAGGCAGGTCCCGTAACACTGTCATTAGTGACTGCTTTAACATTCAGCTGGAGTCCGGCCACCAGCTCGACAGTCCAATGCTATATTTAGCACCTATTAGTTTATCTTTTATATAACTTGCATACAATGGATCCATAGAGCATGGATATATTAATTCAATTCAGGTGTGATCATTTCTAAAACCTTGTAATAAACCTTTAAAACGTTTTTTTACTGACTATTCCCCGGGTGTGATTTACTAAAAGATCATTAGCCCTTTCATGAAGCAAATGACTTAGTTTAGGGTTAGACAAAGTGAACATAGCAGAAGTGTATGACAGGGTGACAATAGCTGTTCTCGGGGATGGTTTGTCACTTTTTAAGTGTACTGAATCAGTAATATAAATGTTGTTTGATGGAACAATCATATAGGACCAGAAATGTGTTAAAAGGGTTCAACAGCAATTGAAAAGACATTCATACAGCGACAGAAACGTCACAAATAAACTGGCTTGCCCAGTCAAAAGACGCACAAACATCAACTTATTAGAATAATATATAGAAATCTGTACAAAGTAGTTCCTTTCTTCAATGAATCATCAGTCAAAATAACTGCAGCTTTCCTATAACGGTGCTTCAAAGCTCTCCACCCGTTTCCTGCCTTTGTTTCACTTGCTGCAAGGTATTCGGTGGTTCACCTGTAAGGCTTCATAAACCAGGCCCCTGGATACATTCATAAACTGCTGACCCATCTGTTTCCTTAGGCAGAACTCTAGGGTCAAGACTTTACTGAATGTGTCCAAATACACAATTAAATCGTACTGCTGTTGAGGGCAGTTTGTTTGTTCCTCTTATGTTCTTGCTTTTGTTGACTTGTGAACACTAACTGTGAAAAGGTGCACATTTGTACAGGTTTGACCAATTGCAGGGCGCTTAAGGTTAGGGTCCTTTGACTGCAGTGAATTCTAAAGTCTGAAACCTGTCAGCATGATGGATGAATTAATCCACTTGTTGAGATCCGCTTTTATTATAGTATAGAGATTCATCTTGAATTGTTTTGAGCACCGGAAATGAAACACTAAGCGAACAAAGCTGTAGCACGGCTGTATATCCTCACCTTCTCCGAGGCTGTATCGTAGGCGGGCGTCCCACGCCTGCAGGGCCTCTTTGCTGTCGAAGCCCAGAAGAGCAGTCTGGTTGAGGCAGAGGATGGTGAGAGTGAACGCCACTCCTTCAAACCACTGTCCCGTTTCCACTCCGCAGATCTCCTCCAAGGTGACACTGGCCCTCTCCTTGTTGCCCTGAGCTTTGTCAGATTTGTCTTTAAAAACCAGCAGCACTAGGCAGTCTGGAATCAGAAAGTACGTACATGACAACGTCACATTTTTTGCATTATTTTAGAAGCAGCAGATCCCTGAAAACAACTGGAAACTGTTTAAATACATGAAATTCCATCGACAAATAACAAAGTATTCTGACACACAGTAGCTGTTCTGTAGTCTTTTGGCACCTTCAGATAATCAGTGTCAACTGACAAAACAACAAGTGTGTGTGCATCTCACTACACACACACACTTAACCCACATAACTGAGGCATGAGCGCAGACAGCTGTGATAACACTGACATCCAAGATCTGAAGAGGAGCAGCGCTCTCCTCAGTATAACCTGTGGAGCACGCTAAGCACCAGATATCTAAAAGAAACCTTTCTGTGTAATGCAATACAGACACTTTAATACTGGGAATCAGAGTTCTTAAAAACATTAAAAGATGTAAGGTAGGTTTCGACAACCTTGAACTCAACTTCATGTAAGCTGAAGCCTCTTCAGTAAATGTGACCAGATAACACAAATTCACTGAGAGAACCTTCATGGTGCATCTAAAAATGCAGAAGGGCTCGCTCTTTTATAATTAAATTAGCAGATGGGCTCAAAGGGTCAAAAATACTTTGAGCTTGTGGAATCATGTTTAGAAATATTTTGAAAACTGTTTGTATATCAGTTTTAACCTGCACAATCTTTGTAAGAGAAATGTTACTGCGTGGAAAGAAATCTGACAACTATTTGTGCACAATTAAAATCAAGGTGACACACACAGCAGGAAACTGTGAAACAACTGAACACACTTGAATGCACATTTAAAAATGACATGGATACATTTTAACCCTTTTAACAACCAATTCAGTGCTAGAAAGTGTACTTCCTAAAAATTAACTTCTATTTTGAAACTGTACTTGGCAAGAACGTTTTTCCTCTCAGAGACTTGGTGCAACATTTTGATGCTAATACAAGTACTTTTACTTGAGTAACATTTTGAATGCAGGAATTTGACTTGAAACAGAGTATTCCTACACTCTGGTACTTCTACTTAAGTGCAAGACCTGAGCACTTTTTCAACCTCTGTCTTTATTTCCGAAGTTATTACTCGTTTGAGCCCTATTTGTGCCCACATAGTTCCGAATGAACGAACACAAACACGGCATCGTCATGACTGGAAAACACACCTGATATGTTCAACCTGCTAACGAGCTAGCTTCGTCTACTGGCATAGCTAACATGTGCAAAAACTGCGTCAAAGCTTTACGAATATGTTTTCATTTCGTTAAGAAAGAAGTGTAAACAAGAAGCTGTTATACCTGCTACAGGCGACGGCTTGCGAAGAACGACCCACCTAGTTTTCCACTGTGAAAGAAAGCAGAAAGTACACACAAACTTGTTTAAGCACAGATGAAAGTACTTCTGCCATATCCGTCAGCAAATTTAGTCACGCTAAACACCTTTTTTCCATCTCTGAGTCTGGCATATCCCTCCACGACAACAGAATCCGTCATCTTCAGTCATGGTTCCTGACAGCTGCACAGTCGCTGACTGAATGAGGGGTCACTTTCAAAATAGCTGCTCTCTCCCTGCTGGAGGGGCACACACTCCCCCCAGCAGAGGCACATGGAAAAAGGCACGACCACTATCCAGTGTTGTGTGTAACGCGTTACAAAAGTAACGGCGTTACAGTAATGTTACTTTTTGCTGTAACGAAGTAATGTAACGCATTTCTAATGAAATGTGGGTAATATACTACCCGTTACAATTCTCAGTAACGCAGTTACAACACATTTAACCCGAAATTAAATGGTGTTTTGATTTTTAAGAATGTACCAACATCGCGAGACATTCCGACACCAGAGAAAAATGGTGCGGGTAGATTAGTAAACCTGGTGTTCATCAGCCTGTCATGTGTTCATTTCCCCATAATGACCGCCTCGCTGCACATTATCCCGTTTATTAGTTTACACGGCCATACTAAACAAACTGAAGTTACCTACTGTACTCCAGTTTCTATGAGTATTGGCGTAGCCCTCTAAAGCTAGTTTCCACCGGGTCCGTCTGCGCCGCGGCAGTCGACGGCCCGTCCACACAGCGGCGTGCGTTGAAGCTTCCAACGCTTCTGCCCATTCACTTTGAATGGGGTGACGTCACTTTTAGCCGAACTGCATTTTGGGAAGCGACGTGGAGCGTTGCTGGCGTTGCTGGCTTCAAAAGTTGAGCAATGTTCAACTTTTGACGCCTCGACGAAGGCGTCAGCCAATGAAATCCCGTTTATGCAAATCTGCCAGTACAAGCGCTAGCCAATCAAACCGCGTGTATGCTGGGAGAGACTACGCAAGTCATTTCCTCATATTCCAAAAAATGGAGGGAAAATCCATTATAGCGGTAGTGAATCACCCGGTGCTGTATGATCAGTCTCTGTTCATCTACCGGGATACATACCGGAGGAGCGAGGCATGGAGGGAGGTGGCAGAGACAGTGGGTGAAACTGGTAGGTTGTCGCCTGTTTGGAGATTTTATATCCAGTTTACTTCGTTTTAACATTGCTATTGCTTTGGATCGGGGGCGGGAGATTCATGTGATTGGTTGTTGGTCGCGTTGCAAGCAAAAAATCCCCAAGCTTCAGATACGCCCACCTCCAAGCGTCAACGCACGCTGCTGTGTGGACGCTACGGCTCAGACGCGTCCCAGAAGCGGCTCGGCGCAGCGCTTCTCTAGAATCCTATTTTTGCCGCGGCGCAGCCGTAACATAAGGTCGGGCAGGCAGCCCCATAGACATATACAGCTTGTAAATGACCTTTAATATGTTTAATCTTTTGTAGAGGTGGTTATATTTGTGTGCCGATGTTTTCCTGTGGTAAAGTTTTAGTTTTGTACTTTTATTTTGATAGTTATAAGATCCGGACTTTTATTTTGAAGGGACTTTTGCCGGAAGTGAATAGAGAACGGAGGAGTGTACACACGTGTAATGACGGATGAATGACGGAGAAATTAACATCAAATAATTAGTTACGTTGGGTTTTTAGCACCTGGCTGATAGGGGCACAAGCTCTTACGTTGGTACGTTGACACGTAATGTATACATTCAAGGGTGTACAATAAAAGGATACCATCAGTTCGAGAGTATGACCTGCTGGGGACGCTACAGTAAGAGCTTTACCTCATCATTCCCACCACGCTCATGACCAAGGATGACTGCGGAGGGACTTGATGTGATGGTCTAAGGTTGTGACACCCACTCACGAAATGGCATCAGACAACTCATCTTTAGACGATAGGGACAAGGACCAGACAATGGATGCTTATAAGGACACGTCGAAAATGCTCCTGGAAATCGAAGATATTGAAAGTGGTCCTTCAACTGTGTAATTGTACAATAGCTACATTCAAAATGAAAAGACCCAACACAATTATTCATGGGACAAATTCCTGGTGAAAATAGAAATGTGCTGCCAAAATAATTGATATCCTTAAATTAAAGTTAAACAAATCTATGTATTTCATTTGAAATAGTTAAAATTCAGATTATTTTTTGTTTACATTATATACATTGAAGTCTCACTTTAAGTAAAAGCACTAAAATAACTAAATAAATGTGAGTTTAACTTCAGCTATGAGTATGCAATATTAGAATGATCTTATATGACCATATATAAAATATGTTTGCATTGTTGTACTAACTATACAATCAAAGGATAACACGGTTCTATCATTCTGTGCAATATGGTTAAAAGGCATAAATAAGCTTCTTAATTCACATTAAATTGAGATTTTCTTTATGAAAATACATACAAATATAACTCGTGTATTAGGCTCAACAACATTCAAAGCTTTTTCAAGTCATAAAAGGTTTATTCAGTCACAAAGTGTTTCACAGTTAAAAAAGATAATCTATAAACTTCCACAAGCATTATAAATATAAAACAATAAAATAAAGTACAAAATATTATATATTAAAGCTATTATCCAGGTAACATCAATTCACAAAGCCTTGGGTTTGCGTGTGATCACTGAATTGATCCAATCGATATAGTTCGTCACTTTAGTGTAAACACCGGGTTTTTCGGAGCGGCCGCAGCCCTCTCCCCAGCTGGTGATGCCATACAGGAAGCTGACATCATGGTGCGCACAGGCCAGAGGGCCCCCCGAGTCGCCCTAGGGAAACACATAAGTGGATAGTCTTCACACACAATATAAACAGACATGCTAGATGAAAGCGGAGTCGCACAAACAGCTGAGTCACCCACTTGAAACCTAATATATTACTAAAATTGCACTCTACCCACAAGCTAAACAGATAAGCATGACATTTCATTTAAGAGGGAAGAGCGGATGATGGAGTAGGATGTCTTTGGCTGCAGACGTTTCTGCAGTTTTTAAACCCTCTAACTTCCTCCTGTCACTTCACTCAGGGGAATCCCTGCTGCCATCTTAAGTGCTGTTCCATTACTCTGAAACCTTGAGTCAACGTTCTTACATAGACCCTTTCAAAAAGTGAGGGAGGTCTACAGTGTAGACCAAAGTCCACACAGCTGTAGACTCTACAGCTATGTGGACTTTAGGAGTTGTATTTGCGCAGAACATTTTAGAGTCGGAAAAAAGAGCTGGTTGCGATTGTTATATTATTATACCTTGCCTTGTTTTCTTTCTAAGACATTTAGCAGCAGAATATTTTTTTTTTACAAATAGTATAAATGAATACATATTTACAGCTGCCAGATGTAGCTTACATAGCTAGCAAAACTGTCAGTTTGCCAACATATAACCGAAATTCGAAATACACGAAATATAGTCGAAATTCAAGATTAAAAGAGATAATGGTGGACACACTTGGCCCAAGCTTCCAGGAAGTCAGCTGGATGTTGAAGCATCTTTTGTTGTTAAAATCATCATCGAGAAATCAGGCCATGTTGGCTTTATGCGGCACTGAGCGACTTTAATAGGAATAAAGGGGGCCCCACATCAAGCGCCCCATGCAGTTCCCTTAAAACAACCATGGCTTGACCTGAAACCTAACTGAAAAACAACACAATCAAATACTCAAATTATAAACATGCAAAAATGTTGAAGTACATAAGCTACCATGCTTTTCGCAGCCTGGGATATAACAATCCCTGTCTGTTTCAAATGTTTACATACCTGGCAGGCGTCCGCACAGCCGTTCAGCCCCGCACAAATCATGTCAGCAGTGACATGGTTGCCATAAACATTTGGCTTCCTACAAGCGTCATGAGGAATCAGTCTCACTCCAACCTCCTGCAGACTAGAGTAACCCTCTGCCTCTGTCAAAAGAAATAACCCCAACACGTTACATTACAAGGAAGTGAATGGAAGTCCCCCATGAAACCAGGAAGGTACTTGGATTCTTCAATTAGTTTCAATGACATGTTCTATTGAAGGCCCATCACCAACACAGGTGTTTCCACATATGTTTCCTAATGAGACCTATTGATTGACATCTTTACTCTCCTGTCAGGGTTTACAGGGCGGAACAATTTAACCTGTCATCATCAGTGTTATGAGTAGGTAATAAAGTATTATGACAAAACATTTCTAGGAAAGCACCACCGGATTTCAACTTGACTGAAGGTTAGGCTTCTTCATAGTAATAAAAGGGGGTGTGCAGGGGCAAAACTAAATGAATACTTCAAACGTACCACACTAAATGATATCTAAGATGACCTCTTCCAGGTTGCTAAAACCCCAAAGATTACAGGAAAATAACATAAACTAACTTAATGGAAGCTTCAGTCTAAAAGGCATTTCTTATCTCTATAATTTTACTGGTACAAACCAAACCCATTTACTACATTATTTGTTTGTTAAACTAACATTTCCTGAGTTCTTTGGAAGAACTTGAAGCACAAAGCACTGAGTTTTGAACACATACTGTATATTGACAAAACAGTAAAAAGACAAAACAACATTTCCACTGCTTTGACAGTTTAATGTTTCATAAGGAAATAATGTATTGCCGTTCAATATCCACCCAAATAAAGTGTCTGTTCCAGTGTATCTCTGTACTGTAGGTGTAATCGTGATGAAACAGCTCGTCCATGATCTCCCAATCACTCACTCTCACTCATGTGTCCCCAGCCGCTGATGGTACAGCAGGAGTGATCAGGGAACGCCATGCTTTTGTCCGGGAGACAGATGGGTCTGATGAACGGAGTTTTCCTCACGCACCGCCCGTCCTGCTTCGCCAGCTTAATCAGAACTGCAAAACAATAAACGCAACGTTATGAAACCGGTGACAAAAAGCGTAGTTAAACGATGACACAAGTGTTGACCAATGAAAACGTTAGTGTGTGTGTTCATGGGGGGAGCACAGGGAAACAGCTGCTCAGTGACACACAGCTGTGCACGCAAACTGAGGTCTTAAGTGAGTTTGTGTGTTTCTGAATGGGGACAGGAGGTATTTACTTGAGTCACTGGTGTGTGTGTTTCTGTGTGTGTGTCCGTTCAGTGCTTACCAATGTCATATAGTGTTGGATTAAACACTGAGAACTGTTTTGGAAAGATGTACTCCTGCACTCCGAACGTCCTGGTGTTTGGACCCGTGACGTTGAACCTCTGCTGGCCGAGCACCACCCTCAGCTGAGACTTCAGGGGGCTAAAGGAAGACACATTATTATCAGTAGATGGTAATGCCAAGTATTTACTCATAATGTCCATCTGTTACCAGACATTTCAGTCCAGAAGCCTCAACAACTACCGGGTAAAATTACTCCGATTAACTTTGATGCCCAGAGGATGAGCTACAACCTTTATTTTGGCACCACCGTTAAACTAAAATGTTACGTTTACACAGGATATTTTAAAATGTAATGGATGTAATCGATTTCCATTATATTTATCCAGTACCTCGAAGCATCCATACGTCCTAGCTTTCCCTGAGGACAATATTAACACTTCTCGACCCAAGACTCTAATAATAGCTAATCTCCAATATGGTGTTCATGAATTAGTTTGTTCTGCGGGGTATTAGGAACATTGTGGACTCTTGTTCTGCTTCGTTTAGCAGAAAGCAGATATCATGTGCCGTATCCTTATAGTAAACTGCTAAACACTCCAATATCCATTCAGTGATGTCCAACTCGATGATGTAATGCGTTAGCCAAAGATCTTTGAACTTGAACAATGACACCAGATGCCTGTTTGCTGACATCAAGAGAGTAATGTATGCTCATGCATGTAAACAGCATCTGTGCGCGAGCCGTTTTTAGGTTTTCCTCGAACTGGACGTCTAAATATAGCGCCTTCGTAAAGCTGTGATGATGAGGAGTCAAAGCCTTTGAATCACGGGCCTTCTGAGTTGCGACCTCTGCGACGGATAGTATATTGCGCAAATATAAGTACAAAGTACATAAGTACAAAAATGTGCAACCATTACAGCTGGAATGCGTCCATGACATACTTGCGGAAGAAGCAGTGAGCGGCAGAGACGATCCAGCAGGAGGAGACCAGAGTGCCGGCGCAGAAGTCTGACTCTCCGATGTAAATGGCTGCCATCCAGGGGTGAGTCCCTGGCAGCGCTGAGTTCCCGCCCATTATCCGGCCCCTGGCTATCGATAACCTCTTCTCGTGCCTTTTCCCACACACATGCTTTTTGCCGGGATTGGAAGGCTTCGGGACATTAAATGGGATAATCCTTCGTGAAAAGGCTACATGAGGAAACAAGTAGAAGTGCATAATTATTTCAGATTCAATGGCATAATTGAACTATAAACTACATTTTGTAGAACTAAAACTAGGGCTGCACAACTAATCGAAATTGTGTAGAAATATATATATAAATCGCAATACTGACTAGTGCAATGTCCAGATTGCAGTAAGCCCAATATTTGATAAGGACAAATATGACAAAATATAGAGTAAAATATTGCTATCGCAGACTAAATTTAAAATCAAAGAATCCCAACATGACCTTTTAATATTTGTTTCAATGAAAATGTGAATAATGTTTCAAAAATGATCATTCCCTCTTATACTGCATACTGATTACAATTTAATTCCAATAAAACAAAAAGCAATTACTTATTTTGATTTTAATTGTGCAGCCCTAACTACACCAACCTACACGACTACATATTCATCTAAAAGCTAGAGTATGATGCTAACACACTTCCTAAATACCTCTTCTGAATATTTGCTTGTGTGTCACAGGCTGATTCTCCCCTGTAAGAAAGCAAAAAAGGCTGTTCTATAGGAAAATAATGATATATCAGAAGAACAACCCCATGCTAGAAACCATGTGTTTAGGGGAGCGCAGCAGATGGGAAAAGCTTGTGGATTCTGTGCATACCCCTGGCATCGGGACGCACGGCTGACGGTGCCAAATCCCACTCACCACATAAACATGGAGCTGCACCTGACATGACATGTTGATTCAGAGTGAGTCATGCCTAAGCCCCCTTATCTCATCCAGCCCACGTTGTAAAAAAGCGCCCTGCCAAAAGCAGTCAACTCTGCTGTATTCAACTTTTTCGGAGCAGCGTGACTCAACGGAGATTCGCTGTGTTCCCCACGCTCTCTGTTATGATCCCAAACAACTTCTAATTAAAAGTAGGGATGCCAGCGATTATTCGATTTTTCGAATATTCGTTACAGTCTCCATAATCGAAAATTATTCTTAAAATTCGATTTTATTTATATATTTTTTTATTATTATTTATGTTTTTCTTTTTTTTCATGGCTTAGCGGGGCGGCGAATAATCGATTAATATTCGCCAGGGCTGTCCGATTTTCGAATTTCATCATGGTCAGTTTCTGGCATCCCTAATTAAAAGCGGAGGCCTTGAATGAGCAGTTGATCTGTTTTGATTGACTGTGTTTCATAATCAAAGCAAATAGATTAACCATTGTCAATGATGGCCTTCCTGAAAAGCTGCTCCTAATATTTTCATACTTTCTAATGATGAGTTCAACCTTCACAGAGGACAGCTTAATGAATCCTTTTATAAGTTACATACATTTACGTAAACAAGACCAATAATAACCAAGCTTGATAATAAATGGAAAGCGGATAGTTCCAGAATGTATCCGCAGTGATAAAAGCACAATAAAGCTGAGGAAGCTAACATTATTACTCCTAAAACCCATGGACGAGCTTCAAAGTATCTCAAAACACTTGTAGTGATAACACCAACTACATGACAAACTAAATACAGATGCTAATATGTTCTTCAACCCTCTATGATTTCCAATGAGGCCTGAGAAAATGTCCCAAAAACACATGGTCCCACTGCTTACAAAACTAGACGATCAAACTTCTCCGTTTACTCACACACAGACATCACACAGGCGGGGACGTCACAGTACTCCCAGGAGATGGCGCCGTTATCTAGCGTGTAGCACCACGGCATCTTGTCTTTATCTGGGTTTCTGAACACACGGGAACACAGCGGACAGAGTGTGTGTAGGTGTGCCACCTTTGATTATAACACTGCAGATTACTCACATAAACTTAACGGCACCATCTCTTAAATTACGAGCGGAGAATTATTTCAATTTTGTTGCTCTCACATTTGAATAATTAGGAATAATGTCTCACTGAGCTGTTATATAGGACTTGAATCAGAAAGGCAAATAGTCACTCAGTCGAAACGTGTGTGTTTGTGACCAAATCCCAATAACTACTTGTAACTTAATGTTTGGGACTTTTTAGGTCACATACTAATTGCTGTGGGCATGCTTGGTTGTCATAGCAACAAAACTGACTGAGAAAAGCAAGGAGGGCAAATGTGGAGGAGATATTCTTTTTAAATTGTATACAGGCGTGATTCACCATGTGCTTGTTTAACGCTCGCGGTGGTTTCAGGTCTGCTGGTTGCCTCTGAGGACTGAGCAACAGGTGTTAGCATGTGAACTCCACAGATAAGCTCAGAATAAAGTTAGAGAAAGTCTAATTTATTGGAAGAATATGTGGAAATCTAGCCAAATAAGTCAGCTTGTACACATTCAAATCTTGGAATAACTAGCTTTCATTTGTCATGTTGCTACTAGAATTAGCAGGATGTCTCCACACACACCTGCAGTAGGCATGATTCCCGAGGCCTTTGCGGGGCGAGTCGTCCACCGTGCCCACGTGCAGCTCATCGTACAGCAGGTCTGAGTTCCAGGCCATACAGCGGGCGCCGGACACCGTCGTGTCCACCACCCCTCTGTAACCTGTGCCCCTGCCGGTGTAGCACTCTGACTCCGGCTCTGCACACACGGGCAGAAAAACGCAAGACAAATATGTGTCAATTATGTCTTGATTTCCCAATGAAGTGTGTCAGCAACATGAATACAGTTAGACAATGACAGGTTACTTTCTTTCACTCTCAAATTAGTCAGAACACGTCTAAAAACAAAAACTCAGGTTCAGCAGCTCGCTCTTGTTTCCACCTGCCACCATTAATCAAACCATTATCACATACACATGAGTGGACATGAATGCACTGTATGAACATGAACACATGACAGATACACTTAGAGAGAATTACTTCCTGCTACTACAGGTCTGCTTTCACTCACCGACGCTGCAGTGGGGACCGCCGTAGCCCCACCTGCAGTTACACACCTCCTTTCGGGTGGCTGTGATCCGTCGGCACGTCCCGTCGTTCTGACAAGGGTTTGAACGGCACACTGAACACACAAAGGCAAAACAGGGCACATCATCTTCAGAGTTCATACTGTTTATTTCCACAAAATGTCTGTCTGTACTATGCGTGTTCAACACATCTGCGATAAGTGATTGTTTGGTCCATTTAGGGATGTGGAAACAAGCCATTAGCAAAACACTGACATATCATATATGGCGTTTGTTGACAGGCAGCTTGTTTACACATTCAGCAGATGCAAAGCCACATCATCAATCATTTAACAATGGGCTTTTGGGCACCTCATCAAAGCTCAATATGTCCTCTCTTTTAGCTCCTATTTTGGTCCCTACCACGCTCTTATATAAACGTTTTTAGCCGTAACAAGCAGCTGTTTGTTTTTATACAACAAAGTGTTAATAAATGACACTATTTACAGAGCAACAAACACCAGATACACAAAGTTAGCAACCAGCTGGTCAACATAGCAGAGCATTTAGTGGCTAAAGGGACAAGAGATATTTCCCTTAATAGTTGGTCTGCTTGTTGTGTAAATATGAAAATGTTTTCTAAAATGAGCTCCATGCAGCTTTGAAAGGTGACAATACTCTATGTTAATGTGATATCTTCAGCAAGCTGTGCTGGTCTTAAGAGACAAGAAAGTAATTGAATGCCGCTTAAATTAAATAAATGAACCTCGTGACGCAACATCTGTATATCTCTGCGCTGTTTAAGGAGTTTCATTTGTTACCTTCAGAAAAGTTTCCAGTGAGCCAAAAGATAACTCAAAATAAACCTAAGTGCAATTACATTCCAAAGCTGAATCTAAGGTCATGCAGGTGCATTCAGTTTAAAGGAGATTTTTTTTTCCCAATGTAAGATAAGCCCCTACCGTCACGACAAAAAGCGGTTTCGGCTCACGGAGCATGAAACCGACTCCCTCTTTTATGCCGGGGAATCTGATTAATGCTCAAGAACATCCTCCCCATAGAGATGAAAGTACCTCATGGACCCGTGGGGTGTGTCCTAAAACACCATTCCTGAGTCACAGTGAGTCATATAATCTGTCTTTTCTTCCACGGCAAAGTTAGGCTTGTAACTATGGAGCCGTGATCAAAGAGAGAAAGCCTGTGAAAGGCTGGGAGGAGACCTGACACTTGTATCTTTTGAGGTTTGATAAGTAAGAAAAAGCTTGTGAAATCTTTCCTTAGAGTGCACTATTCTCCATTTGTAGTTAGTTAATGCCCTGTGTCTCCTGCAAATGTGGCTTATTCTTCTTCATGCAAGGCAAAGAAGGTTCACCTAACTGACAGTTTGTGGAAGTGCATAGTGTTTAGGTTACGGTAAATACATCCTCATATTGGGTTTCACTCATCGTCTCAACAAAAGCACAGGATTGAAGCAGCTGAAAACACGTCTTACTTGTGTAGCGGACTCTTTCACACTGGATTTCCCCCGCCACACATGTGCACTGTTCCACATTACGGAGGTGAATTCGTCCCCAAGTGTCTCCGGTGTCATAATAGTGCAGGTGTACCATTTCATAGCACTTCTCTGTGGACGCATGAAAGGCAATAGGTTGAAATGTGAGAGGAGATTGGAGAGCTCAATGGAGCGCGCAGAGCAACGTTTCATGGCTGAGCTGAGCAAGATGCATTCAAATGAGAAACATTGGTGCGTCTTTTTAGTGTTTATGTTTGATTGAGAGCCATTCAAAGGACTTTGAATGAGTGATTTGCAAAATGACTCATAACAGACCTGTGTGAAGTTAAAGGGGAAACTTCTTTAACAGAGATAAGAGAGGGAAGAAGTAAAGCTTATTCTAGGTCTTTGAAAGAAGAGCTTGACAAACAAGATTTTAAATGAAAAGAAGAAATCATTTTAATATGACTTCCTTATCTTGCAAATCATGTGACATAAAACGTTTTTTAAAAGCCATTGAAAGGATTTTTTTATATTGTTTTGACACTTTCCCACTAACAATTCCCAAAGCTTTTCCCACAGGGAACATATATTGCATTTTTCCAATGTGCGTTATTGAACTGAATTCAACCTACATAACTTAATTTACTGATGAATACCATCAAGCTCTTGGAAAAAGCCAGTACCGTGAAGAATTCATTTTGGGGCTCATTTTTCATCATAACTAGGAATAAAGTTATCGGATTGAAATCATAACCCTCTGCATATGTTTCCTATAAACATAATGAGACAAGTTGCAGAGTTTGTACATTTGAAAGTTATCAAAGAACCTTTATTTTCTTTTGCGGCAGTAAGTATGTAATGGCGCATTTCCACTGCAGCGGGTAGCCCCGTTTAAGCGTCCTTAATCGTCCTCAAGCGGCCAGGCCAGTTTTTGGTGGCCTTTCCATATAGCGTAGCACCGGCTAGCGGGTACTTTTCCCCTCTTTTTCCGGCCCCATAAAATCGTGGTTCTATCAAGCCAGGGCCAGGGCTGAACTAGTGACGTCAACACTCTCGACTGCTGATTGGTCAGAGAAAATCGTCACAAGATCGCGCGCGAGATCATCCCTAGCGGCGCATATATATCTAGAAGCAAGCTTGCAGCATTTTTATACACAGCATTTTTTGACGTTCCTACTTCTCATTGGGGATGATAAAATCCAGCGGGAGCTCGACGGGAGCCCCGCCTACACTGCGTTGCTACCCCAGGTCCTAAACTGTAATGGAAATGCGCCACGGCCTCGGACGGCCAGCGAGGCAGCCCGAGGCCTGAGCGAGGACGCTTAAACGAGGCTACCCCGCTGCAGTGGAAATGTGCCATAAGCTTCCTGATTTGCAAAATGATAAGAAAACACTGAATGAAGGCACAATTAAAAAGGGATGGCCATGAGAGTCTGATATGTTGTGTTAAGATTGAATGGAGGATATATATAACAAAACAGTGGAAGTATACATGTCATTCATAAAGAATAACTATCTCAGAGTGTACATACTGTGCTCACAGTGTGTGCCAGTGAAGCTCTCCGGACAGGAGCACTCAGCAGACGTAGTGTGTGGGATCCGTGTGCAGACCCCTCCATTCTGACAGAGGGTCACCTGACATGGATCTGTGATTCTGCGCGACGTGTGGATAGAAACTGAAACACATCAACATGGACGGACAGTTAGAGGATAGCCATGACAGTATTATGATTGATTAACTGCACTGTGTTTAGTACACTTACCATTTGGAATAATTTTCTGTGGCCCACAGAAACCGTACTGCAGGTCCCGATCGAAATTATGAGTGAGGGAGCACCTGCAACAGAGGAGGAATATAATAGAGTCTCCAGCATGTCACCGAGATTAAAAAAGGAGACATTTGCATCGAGATTAGGGTTTGGCAATATACTAATGTTACCGTGAAAGATTCATCAACTGTCTGAGATTGTTAGATGATGTTCCAGTGTGTCTCAGCCTTTGACAACTCAGTATGCGTGAGCCGCCCACTGAGAAAAATGTCATGTATTTTACGTCATGTGATCGGCTCTCACGATCGGCATTTTTGGAGAGCACAGATCGATCGGCAGAGAGTGAGTATCGGCCGATGTCGATCGGTGGCCGATCTATCGGAGCATCCCTCGAGTAAATCATGCAGAATGTTGCACTGATCTATCGACAAAACATCAGTAGGCAACATGTTGATATTCAAACCACATGAGAGATAGAGCGCCCACAAGGTAGAGATGCTCGCAGTATCTTTAATATTAAGTACAGTATTCTAAAAGGTAAAGGTAGCTGTATAGCAGGTTGAACACACTTTATAAATATTAATAAAATAAAAAGATTACTTAAGAGGCTGTTTCATAAGTTTGTAAGATTCAGTTTGTGCTTATTGCAAGATCAGTGCAACAAAGCGCTTAACAATTTCCGATCAGTTCAATTTTTTTTTTTATATATATATATATATATATAACCACAAAAGCAGTATCCATAACAAAAACAAAATACATCAGTTACTGCAATCTGTTAACAATTGTTCAATCATAACCGCCCAGAATTTCGCAATTGGTGCAACCCTAATATATATTCTTTCTTTATAGCCATTTTTGGGCCAATTCATGATATTGCTTTATAGATTGAAAACTCATTTTGACAGATTAATATTGCTTTTTTTAAGAGAAATTCATGGAAAGGGAATGCCTTAACAGCTATAGGATTGGTTGACATGCAATTTGATAGAGACATTAACCCTCCTTCAAGATGAATTCTTACTGAGCGTCCAATACTTTTTTTTTTATAATAAATTGTGCAAAACTAAGGACACTCCCATTATCCTCAAATGCACTTTATGTTTAGTGCTAGTTAGAAAGCTGGTGAATATGCTTAACATTACCTAAACATAAGCACATTTTTTAAATGAGTATGTTAGCTTGCTGATATTAGCATTTAGCTCTGGTTCTGCCTCAAAAAGTTGACGCTTAGTCGTGTTATAAGACTTTGGCAGTCGAATAGAGACACAACTACCTGCTTATTGTATCCATTAACAGTTTCACAATAAGCATTAACTGATTTTATGACATAAAACCACTTATATCATGAGAGTGTTTTATTCACCCTTAAACGACGTCTTACAAGCTACAAATACTAACAAGCCGCACTAACAATTTCTCTGTAACTGAAATGCGGTACTTTTGAATACTTTGGGGGAACGACTCGGGGCGGAAAATCTCAACATGAAAAATGTTGAGATTTTTTTTCTCAATTCCTGCATTCTAGTGAATTTTCATAGTAACACTGCACTTCAGACAACCTACAACTGGTGATGGTGTCTAGGTCTTTAAGTGTTAAACAGCTGAGAGCAGTCACTGCTGTTTTTTGTGGTCTTCTTTCACACACACATCTTACCAAGTGTGTATGAACATCCTCACAAACCAACAAAGAACATGATCTATATCAAATTTAAGACAGAAAACTCCACACTGGTATCTGATCGTCAATCACCGGATAACTTTATTTTAACTATATACAAACTGGTGAATGAAATGAGCAACAAACTTAATGGTTGCACAGACTGTTTGAGCAGTGGATCTGTCGCGGCTTGTCAAAAAAAGTATAATGGCTCCCCCCAAAGTATAATTTATGGGTGGCTCCCCCCAAAGTATAATTTATGTTTTTTAAAGTTTTTTTTACTCACTGAGCACTCATTGCCACCAATGCAAATGAGTGCTCACTGAGTAAAAAAAAACAAAAAACACACAAATTATACTTTGGGGGGAGCCATTATACTTTGGGGGCCCCCCAAAGTATTAACATGCTGTGGGAATCACTGCACTTTGATTCTGTGAGAAAAAGAAAACCTCACTAAACCACAACCGACTGACACTCTCTTACTCTGTAAATCATCCACTTCTTTAACCAAAGCAACATCGGCATACTCCTGGACCGCTCGGTGAATCTGCAGTACATAATGACAAACCTCTCCTGGCGCTGAGCTCATGAACGCATCGCAAAAACATGCAGGGTCACATTGCAGTAGGTGGACCGGGATGTTGGGCCATATATAATTGCATTCATGTTGCTCCAACTTGCTGGCACCCACCCTTCTTGTCTCAATTCCAAAGAATGAAGACTGGAAAAGCCCGTCAGCAAGTTTTCCAAAATAGAAAAATCTAATAAAAAGGAAGATTTTGTTGCTAAGACACAATCTAAAGCAATAAAAATGTGGTTTAACTGTGACAGCTGTTTATTCACCCGAAGGATGAGAATGTATAAACTACAGCCACAGCAACAATTTACAGAGGATTTCTTTAATAAGTATAATACAACTATTATAATATTCCTGACAGGGCACACACATCATTAGAGGGCCCACCAGCAATGAGCAATTAATTAAAGCAAATTAGCTCATTAAAAAATGGCATTATGACAGTAAATCCCCCATTACTGTGACTGTAATTGGCAGCCACTACACACCCCAATTACACACTGCACTAGTGTCATCAGGAAATCACTGCAATTACATGATGGAAAATACCAGTGTTTTTGTTCATTTCAATGTCATGCCAACTTGAGGACAAGTCATACAAACACCTAACACGTAACACCTGCGGTCGGCGTTAGGGTGACGTATACAAGGCGTGTGAGTCTGCACAAAACCAAAATGTGACGAGGCAGCACTTCTACCTGTCACGTGTGGTCTAATGCAAGTGTGTGGTAAGTTGTTACCATTACACACAGGTGGTTGATTGTGAAAAAATAGAAACTCACCAGGGTTTTGAGGACCGGATGGTGAGGCAGTGGTGATGAATTCTTCCCCCCTGACGAAATGGGAATTTACATTCTTTGTTGTCTGTTGTTAGAACTGGCAACAGAGAAAGAAAACACAGCTTGTTAGTGATTTTCAGAGAACACAAACGAGTGAAATCAGAAAATGGCTGAAAAAAATGCAATTCCCCCTGCGCCTCAAACACAAAGACTCCTTTGACTTTGAATAGCTCTGATCAGAGAACAGTAAATCCATCTCCCTAGATACCTAAATATGCAGGTAACAGACCTATACAAGCACTAACTCCCAAGGGATTACAGTTAAAGTTGCACCCACAACTTTCTCTGTAAGCTAAAAATATATGACATATTCACTGCCAGTTAAATGTGCACCATCCCTCTTTTCTCATCTAAATCAAACCCAGGACTTAGGTAAACCCTACCTTTCCGGATCCCGCTGTATGGCACATGTGAGATCATGGATTCATACCCAGCAGACAGTATGCGCTGAAATAAGTGAAAATAAGTTATTGCAATTAACTTTTCACGCAAAATTGATTAAAACAAGTAAGTAGGGTGGTTAAAACTTACCCCCCTTGTACTGAAAACACAAGGTAGAAAAAGTAATACAAAGTATGCCATCATGAAAGTGTGTTGGTCCATCCGGAGAAGCTTGTTTCCAGAAGTCCGAGGAGGTTCTGTGAGCCTGTCACGTTATATCTGTCAGTTTCCAAGTGATCAGCCTGCGTTTTGTCATAGGAGACGTGGGAAACCCTGCAAGTATTATCCTGTCCCTCACACTTTCAAGCTGTATTGAGTAAACCCGTTGCGTCATTGGGCTCGGCTATCTCCGAGGCATCCTATATCCCGGCTGGTGTTCCCTCTGCACCTCTCTGCAGACGCCCACGGTTTATCGTTGTTAGTTATCCATGGAGAGAGGACAGACCAAAACTTTCCAGAGGCTCAGGCGGGGGGACTATCTGCTGCAAACTCCCAACTTTTCCGACTCCGGCACCGTGTTAAAGTAACGCGTTACTGCAGTGTCACTTAACTGTATGCCTCATATGATACTAAATGTGTGTCGACTGTGGTGTCTGGATTTTGTAAACTTGTTTAGTTAATAAAGACTGCATAATATAATAGTAACTTTTGACATGTCTTTGTAAATGTATCACCAGCAGCAAATTGCAGGTTAACTAAGCTAATGGGGTTAATGCATGTTGAGCTATAGTTTAGTATATTAGGCTAACTCTACTGTTAAGTAACGTGATGTAGCCTCAGTAATATAATTAAACCAATTGACATACAGTATTATAACAACCCCTTTTTAAATGAACACTTACAGGAGAAACCACGACTAAGTTCAATTTTAATTCTGACATCAAACTCATTAGTTAGCTCGTGTTTTTAGCCCAGTTAACTTTAGCTAACGCGTGTCCCAAACAGAAATGCTAACCTTACGGGTCCCACATAATATATTCTAAACGAATTAAAGTAAATGGGTTGAACAAAGTTTGACTTGGAAGTTCAAGGCTGTTGTGATAATTTAATAATTAATTGCAGAGGAAATTAAGTCAAGTGCCATGAGTCATGCCGATGTTTAAGCATGCTTAGAAGTTAGCTTAAATAACGCTAAGCTAAAGAGGAAAACTAGCAGTTGGTGTGCTAACAAACAGTGCTGTTTAACTGCCGATAGCCCGATACCTACTTGTCACAGTATGTTACCCTGGAGAAAGTAGTGCTAGCTGATGTCACAACAAAAGATAGTTCTTAGGAATGGTTTTGGAAGTCCTGAAACTGGTTATAGGGCTCTTCTTTTATTCCCATCATAGATTCATAGATAGTACAAAAGGACTGCTTTGGGAGATGGTAAAAGAGCACAATGTGGAAGCAGTCTAGGCATAAAAACATTCACAGATGGGCCATTGGGTTATATCTTGTTTTTAAAATCAGATAAGTCAAATGTAAGGTGAATCAAGGATAAGGCAGAAAGTACAGTTCTCATCTAGAACTCAATAATGGCAGGCCCTTTGAAATAGGACAAGTATGAAAGTGAAGAGCCCAACCAATCTTGTGTTGTCAGCATTCCAGCAGTGGCATGCTGTGTCAAGACAAACTACCCATTCCCGTAATCTAACCTCTAATTTTCCCCAGCTGTAATGATCTCCTTCCAGATGCTGAGCTAAAAATACAAAGAGGAGGTTGGACAATTGAACAGCACCTTGCATTGGTAAAAAAAAAAAAAAAAAATCCCAGGTGGAGGTAAAATTGTTCAACTAAGACATCTCCAACGTTAATTATTTACAAGTCCCACTAATTTAGCAAACACATGAAGCTGGCCAAATATGACGAGAAGAAGAATTCAGGGCAGAGATTGTTTTATGTAAGACTTGGGGTAATAAAGTACAACAGAGGAGTATTTCAACTATTTGTTCACAAGGGTGTCTACGGAGTTATTACAGGATGTTAAAGGATTCCCTTACTGACATAAAACAATGAATTAATCCTATAAATTATGCACTTACAAACGAAAAGAGAACTTTTGATTCGAATTACAGCAAACAAAGCTTTTTAATCATTCAACATGTGGACAACCTCACACAACCACAGAAGCAGGAAGTACAGGCAACAAAGGTACCATCATGTATTATCTGTAAAACATAAGAAGAAAATATATACAAAAAAACTTAAATATGCAAGAAAAATTGTGATTTACCTCCCTTTTAATCCTATAACAAAGTACGATCTAGCATATGATGCCAGAACATTTGGTACCACTTTCTAATAGGGTAACAGTCGTTTGACAAAAATGTTTTAGCCCAAGGTGCTCTTACTAGATGAGTATTTTTTATCTTTCCACTATATCTCACAGCCTTCCTCAGCAGAAGAAAAACTAGTACATTGACATTAGGTCAAGATTTTTTGTTCAAACTTTAAGTTGCAATTAATAGCTTAATTAATGGTATTATTTTACATTTTGGTTATGCTTTTGAGTTCATTCAATACATTATTTCAGAGCTTTTCATCTACATCTCACAATTTTCCTAACCTGCGAGTGTCTTTAAATGTAATTGATGGCATAATCAATTATTAATCTCTTCTCTTGTATATGTTGTTCCCACAAGGTATTTTAATTTAGCTGTTCAATTCATACTGATAGCTTATAAGAGAGTTACATTTATAATAAACCCAATAATGACAACTTTCAATCCTAAATGCCTATTAGAAACTGGTACCATTAAGTTAATTTCAGGCTTCTTCCATTGTTGTCCTTAGTCTAACATGGCTCACAATAGAACGATTTTGAACTTCATTATTAAACTAAAGCATAACAAAAACATATCACTGCCTAAAAATTACAACCAGTACTAAAAATCGACAAGAATACGCCAGAATTCGTAACAAATATACAATATCTATCACCATAATATTGACTTTTTTTTGGAGTGTACATGCAGCCCATTGTTTGACAGTGCCTTAGGCTTAAAAAGTGCAGCAGTGGGGTTTCCCTTTAGACGATTGTGGCCTTGTAAAGGTCTGTCTGGCAGTCCTGGCCCTCTGGTGGGTTCCGGCCACTCTGGGGTATCTGGGTGCTCCTCAGCTTGCTCTGGCACTGCCGCAGCTCAGCCACGTAGCCCTGGAAGCTCAGGCTGAGCTCAGACTCCTCTCCCTGGGATGTTTCCAGTGTCCCCTCCTCCAGATGGACCTCCTCCACATCCATCACCTCCGGAGCCGTCTGTGCAGCGTCGGCTCTGTCGGTGGCTGATTTGGTGTCAGAGCTTGGTTTTGTGTTTCCCTCTGTGCATGGGAGAAAGGAAAGACAGATTGAAGATAAGTTGATGCTTTATGGGCAGCCAATGTCTATTTGAATATTTCATTTGAAAATGTGCAAAGACAAAAACACAAGGGGAATTCATAGATGTGGCCACTTGGATTACATAGGTCACATAGATTACAGTTACTCAATTAAACATCAAGAAGACACGACAAACATTGTTTCTTTAATTCTTTTGTGTTCTGATCAATCCAAGCTCAATATTCACTCTCCACTACAAGTTTCTTTTAAAGTCTGATTGTTATCGTGCTTGGCTCATAGCCCACATATCTTTTTTATTAAAACAGCTGCAAGCTCCAGTTTATAGGAGCAGATGTTTTAAGGTTTAAAAACCAAAACAATGAGCTAAAAAATTGCTAAAACTCTAAATAAAGAACAGAGCTTGGCTACAGATGTGGAAGATTATTTTCAGTGTTTCACTTCTTATAAACTTGATTCATTTTTTGTAACTTAATATTGATCACTGCACCTATTTGTGGTTAAAAGCATATTTAAAAGAATATATCCCATCTCTTTGCGACTTTGACTCATTTGGACCATGTCTTCCAATTAGACTGCATCATGACCAGATGCGTAATATGAGTGTTTTCCATTTCAGCGGCTCTAAGAAACGTGTCATCCATTGCGTGGCTGCCCATGCATTGTAGCTCAAATGAACACTTTAGTTGAATATGTTTGAGTAATGTGACAGTTGCATAATCTGGACAGCTGATGTCAAGACAATCTGGATGACATAAATGTCTTGGCTCAAACTTGCTGAACTCACTTGCCAACCATGGGGGATAACTGAATGGATATTATTAAATATTATTAAATGGACTTGGATGAGTTGTCCCATGTTGTATATTACAACTTCACAATTTGGGCTTCATTTCAAACAAGCTGTATTCATCAAAGGCTTTTACTGTTTAATAACCAAAGTTAAAAGCACATTTTAAGAGGGTGATGGGCAAAAAAGAATCGGCCTCTTCTCATGAAAGTGTACTCATGGGGCTAAAACCCCAATGTTTCCAGGATGTTGGTATTACAGTCACTGATAAACTCCCCACTTCTCATGTGAACCCTATGGCCCCACAGACTCTAAACACAGAGGCCCGAGTGACTCAAACACAGCACTTCAACACATAGACGCTCCCAACTCCACCGACTGTGATTCACTGCTGTTCGGCGCAGATGTAAACACAGCCTGTGAGCTCCAACAGCTGATCTTACACAGACCCTCAGCAGAACCACTGCGGCACAACAGAATCCACCAAGGTGAACACGAAACAGCTTCAATAGCTGTTCAACGACTGCCAACAGGTTCTCTGATGCCCCGGCCACACGAGGACGAAAACGGCTAAACGCATAGGATTAACGCAAACGCAATCGCAAAAAAGCTTCCGTCCACACGCAATAGTCATCCGGATAGTGTCTGTCCACACGAGACAGCTCCGTTTAGCTCCAACCGCTGGAGAAGCTGCAGTACATATGCAGGAGCCTGTACGTGGCGCTGTAACTTCCTCCACAAAAGCAGCGAAGAAGCATGGTTGTCATGGTTGCCCTTCTGTTTATTCTCCGCGGTGGGGGCCGAGGGAACCGGGCAGAGTTTTTCGCCAGTCAACGTGTATTAAAGTTTAAATCTTCCGACAAAATTATAAAAGTGCCGGTCAAAGGTCTTCTTTGTTATTTATTGAGCTTTAAAACAAATGAATAACGACTATATATAGCCTAATATAATAATAAAATACACGGAGCCTCTCTTTTTCCTCCCTCTCTTTGGACAGCGCCAGTGTCTGTTTCATGCAGCAGCTGATCCAGTAATGAGTGACCCCGGCCGACAGTAAAAATAAACATATTTATAACTAGTTTAGGTAGTTTGAGAGGTGTCTCCGTCCTGTCAGATTATACTTCACTCGCGTTTAGGTCCATATCGAGAGAAAGATACATAATCTGAATTCAGTGTGCAGTTTACTTTGACGCGGGGGTGAGCAGCAGAGGTGGGGAGAGGCGGGGCTATTGCCTCATCATTATCAGAAAATGATCGTATAGGGCGTACACACGGAGCCGTTGGACCCCCCAGAGCGTTGCGTGTGCCGTTCTATCCACCTTGGGACCCGTTATCGTTTCCGCAGTCGTTTAGTGCCGTATTCGGTCGTCCTCGTGTGGCCGAACGGTCTATATGACACTAAACAGCAAACGACCGTTTTCGTCCTCGTGTGGCCGGGGCATAACACTAGTGCTGAAAAAAAAGAAAGAACTTGCAACTTATTGCAACACATATTGCAACACACAGGATGTGATGCATTGATGCTGTCGTGCAGAGCTGCTAGGTGACATATTATGATTAATTGGTGTACATTTGAAATTGAATGCAACAGTGATTATTTTTATAATTAATTGGCTGCAAATAATTTTGTAGATACATTGATTGTTTGATCTATACAATTTCAAATGCAATTGAAATTGCCTCCAATGTAATGTATTTACGTGTCATGATTTGTCAGTCCAACACCCAGAATTCTTAATGTGTTATTACTATTATTATTATTATTATTATGTATAGAGAAGCGTAAAACTTCCTTTTTTACTGCCAGTTTTGAACCAAGAACTATTTATACATATTCATTAGTATGTCTTTTGTTGCAGCTCTACTTTTAAAGCCATGAATGTATTCATCCATCCATCCTCTACCCCAGGAAATATATTTTTAAAATCCATTATTTTCGAAAAGTTAATTTACAATTGCAATTTTCCTCTGAAATATTTTATCCTCAGATCTACAAAATCACATTATGCCTCAGGTGCTCATTAATGTTTACATTTTAACACAGGTCACAAGTTAACATGTGTCCTTTTTAAAAAGGGTACAACTGTGATTAAATGTCACAAAATAGTTAAAAATCAATAATATGCGTCTTTGGGACTCATCAAAACTAATCTTCTGTATTGATTAATTTACTAGAAAAACTGATCATATAAATGACAGTATCAGTTCTTGTCACAAGCCAAAAAGGATGTGAACACATGCTTCATACTCACTTTGTACTGTTATGGGTCAGGCAGGGGGGGGTGCAGCCTATCCCAGCATGCATTGTAGCCTATCCCAAAGAAACACCCTGTCACAGGGGACTTCCAAGATGTTGATACTAATAGAAGAAGGTCCTACTGTAAACACTGAGCCACCATGCTACCAAGTCTTGTTCAAAATGTTAAAACCGTATGTATACATTTTAACTAAATAAATATTAAGAACATGTTGAGATAGCTTAATTATGCCTGATGTCTTGCCTTCTCTACAAAAGATCACCTCACAAGATTAAGTGTGTTTCTCCCAGCCATCATTTTTCACCTTTTCCAAGCATGTTTTCGGTGTCCCAGCTTGCAAACGTGCAAACATGATGGCCTTAACAGAGCTGTTTGACACAGCCATGCCTCCTATGGTGAGGTTTGTCCACAGACATGGCAGCAGCCTGGAGCTGAAAAAGAGCCTGGATCGCACTCAGCTACAGAAAGTGCTGCCAAAAATCTGCGCGCAGCCCTCCTCTGATCACCAGATGGATGATAAGGCTGGCCCAGGGTCAGATCTGTCGGCTTTGAGAGCTGACAAGAGGAAGATGTCGTTAAAACTGAGCCACATGGTCCCTCAGGTGTGCTGCAGTCATTACTGAGCCCTTTTTGTAGATAGCCCGGCCTCAGGGTAGATTTACTCCCAGCAGGAATTCTTTCATCTTCCCCACATGAGCCAAACTATTCCTCTGAATTAAAACAGAAAGCATCTAACATTTAAACCCTTCCTCAATTAATCAGTTCTGGCTCAATTCCTACCTTTATTTCTGACTCAAACTCTATGCATTGAGTTCATGCCACTCAGATGGAGTTACACTGTGTGATGTCGCCCCCTAGTGGGCACTCCCCTCATGACTCGCAGTGTGTCAGACAGGGTGAATTGATTACAGCCATCATCAGGAAATTATCCCGGTGACTCCTGCTAAAGGCCTCCAGATACAGACCGCAGGCCTTCTGGTTTCATTCTAACAGACTAATCAGGGGGTAATTTACACCAAATATGCAGAGTAAATGCAACTTACTGTCGAGCCAGAAATATTCTTGGTACTAATATAACTCTGCCTTAGAGCCACCGTTTTAGAAGCTAATTCGTATACTGATTACAGGGTGTTCAGAAGACACATTCTACCCGTAATACAATGATTTCGCTTCTTCAGTGCCCTTTATAAATGCATGAATTACCTTGTGTAGTTTGACCTTTTTGCAGTAGGGTTAGGAAACAATACATTTCTATGACTTGAAAAGTACTTATTTTATCCACATGAGCTCATGTAGACACAGCTGGACTTTATCCTCTTATTTTCTATTGTACTTTATTATTCATGACGTGTTGATCCACCACAGCAGTAATGATTGATTTCCTGGGAACAGCAGAGGGCGCCATTTTAACAGAAACAAATAAACTGACAGTAAAAAAGCATAATTGCTCCTGAACCATTGTTAACTTGACCGCTTCTGACTTATTCAGTGGGTGTTTGTCTCTTAAACACTTTATAAAGCCTGCAGCGAGCGTGACTTGGCACCAGAATAAAGAAGTAACAACTTGATAAAGTGGAGGCGTGTTAACTTTTCCAGCCTCCCCGAGGTGTTAAAAATATGGATATGTTAAAAGTATTTTTCAGCTGCTGGGACAAAGGGTGTAATAGTCTGGGAGACGGATGAAAACCAGCAGTGACAGTTTCTATCTGTAGCTCAGTTAACCTGCAGATAAGGTTACCATGGCGCCCAGTGGTGGGAAGAATCAGGCTGATGCACTTAGCAACGAGAAAAAGAGGGAGCCTGCGGAGGAGCTTCCATCCTTCCTCATCATCTTCTGCATGCATCACCTTGCATTAAAGACTCGCTATTCATGTAAAGAAAGCAAGGTCAGAGTGAGCATGCAGCTTTGATACGGTGCTTTGAAGTGATAAACACCGGCTTTGTTGTCGTCGAGCGTCATTATCCTCTCTTTCACGGGATCACAGAAGGTTCCCTGGAGTTATATTTAACGCCGTGAATCAAAAACATGTCACCTCTAATTGCATATCTGTAAAGAGAAAGCCTTGTATTTCTGAAAACGTCAACAAATCAACCACCACCGTTACAAATCAATTCACCACTTGATTGGTTTACCTTCAATCTCAAAACACATAAGTGTGGGGGGGGGGGCGGGGGACAAAGACACGGAGGGGGGATAGAAAAATGAAATCCATCTGCAGGTGAGCTGTACACTATGAGCCAACACTCGAGCACAACACAACAAAAGCTACACACAGAGCCCGTGAAGCAACAACCCACCAAGCAGTGTTTCACCAACACAGAACACACACAGCGACACCCTGAGACACGCGCACAGAGAAAAGTACACAAAGGAGTGGGAGCTGATGAGAGGAGGAAGCCACAAGAGAAAATGAGAGGAAGCTACAGAGAAGAGGAGGGGGGGGGGGGGCATGCGGAGGCGGGAAAAGGTTGTGGAGGTGGTGGTGAGAGAGAGAAAACTCACAAACGTGTAAAAAGACAGACGAGAGTGATTTCCAATTCTAACATTTATTAGATCTACTCAAATCACAGGTACAGAGATCATTGGCAGTGATTATCTACAACAGGTGTCTAAAGAGGGGACCCGGGGGGAAAGAGTGACAGGCAATCCAACAATGTCACCAGCGCTAAGGAGCACTTGTCCTCTCGGTGAATAATTATGTTCACCGGTTGCTCAAATGGCTACAGCTGGAGACGACACCTTGGTAATGACTCACCAGATTTCCGAGGGTCTGACATTGTTGGATTGCTCTGAAATGAACGTGGTGGGATGGAGAGGAGCACAGCATTTGTTTAGTGATGACTGTTGTAATGCTGTCAAACAGGTTCATGGGTCTACTTGGCTACGATGGTTTCTAATTGTACATGATGAACCCATGATGGCAGGAAACACAGCTGCCAATCTCACGTTCAATGGTCTCCACCACAGCATTTACTGACTGTCAAATATTGATTGGTAATCTGTATGCACTACGCATGTACTATTCATATTCATTATCTCCGCCATCACCATCGTCATGCACCCAAAATAAACTAAATGTATTACTGGAATGAACTGACGCAACAGTTGGAAGTGACTTCCAGGTACTTGTTGAACAAAATATACACATCACTATTTACACACATGCTTGGCTAACTTTATGAAAAACAGTTTTCTTAAAGGAACGGCAAACTGACAATTTGTCATTAAAGTGCATCAGAGTCAGTGTAGAGGGAGTGTTACCGTTAAAGTGGTCGGGTTTGGACCACTGTGGAGAGAACGCACACGCACATACGACACACACGCAAACACACTGGTTGGGTTACACTGTCGAAATACCTGAAGTGGACTCTCCACCTGCGTCTTGAGGCTGGGGGCAGGGCGGTGGGGGGGTGAAGTTGGCTTCTGGCAGGCTGCTGTTGAAGGACGGCATGGGGGACGACAACGAGGGCAGCAGGGTGCTGTTGGGGCTGCTGATGTGGCCCTCCCCCACCAGGGTCAGGTCGCTGTTGGTGTCTTCCTCCACGGTGCGGAGGCTGGGCCGGGTGTCCGAGGGCCGCGGGATGGGGGACAGGTGGGTGCCGAAGGTGGCGTGGCGTGTGGGCGGCATCAGGCACTGCCTCATCGCGGAGTGTCCGTTGGCGCTGGAGCTGAGGGAGGAGTCGAGGCTCTCGGAGCGCAGGCTGGCGCTGAGAGCCACTCTGGAGGAGATGCCGTTCTCCCGGCTCTGTTTCTTGGAGTCTGGAGTGGAGCAGGAGATGGCCGGGGTGAGACGCAGGAAGTCGGGAAGCACCAGGTCGTTTTTGTTCAGGAGGCCGCGCTGGTCGTTGACTCGGGTGCTCTGCGCCCGGCTCAGGAGCTCAAAGAATTCTGCAACAAAACCAAAGAAAATCACTTTAACTCTTCCGAATATGTTCAATCCTGGAAGAAAATATTAGTCAAAGTTGAACATGCAGCATAGCAGCCTCACACCTGACAGAGAAAATAACCCTAGTCCAGAGGCAAAGCAAAAGCTAAGAAATCCACCACAAAAACATCAAAAAGAGAAGAAGAAGAAGGAAGAGAGGGATTTACCTTCAGCTTCATCTATATTAATCTTTTTCTGTTTTCTCTTTTCCCCTGGGAGTGCTGAGTCTGGTCCACTCGCTTTCACAGAAAAGTCCTTTGGTGTTGACCTCTCATCTCCCTGCAGATGCAACAATAACAATGCACTCTGTTAGGGGATGGAGTGGGGGGGAGGAGGGTTTCGTAAGGTGGGGGGGGGGGCAGGCTAAGCACGGGCTGAAGCAGAACGTCCAGGTTTAATGAGCCTTGTCCGTCTGTCGGAGCCTTTTTCTGGCCATGCTAAGATCTATACGGAGTCCTATCTGTCTTCATACGGTGCAATAACTCAAGCATGGAGAATTTGAGCGGGTGAGTCAGCCACGGGCGGTGTAAGGGCGAAGAATACAAACAAATCAGGAAGTACACACCAATGTAAAGCTTGTCGAAAAGTGTAAATGTTAATGCACTGACCCGCTGATTAATGAGGCTTAAAGGAGCAGAAGCAGAGCAGCAGTAGGAAAGGACAAATCACCACATCCCGACATTTGAAGCAACGTGAGAAAAAAGACATTGTGGGTACTCACAGCAGCAGAAAAACTTCTGGATGGAGGGAGGTTCTTTAGGGAGGAAGACTTGGATTTATCTTCTTGAAACAAAGACAGAGAGAATAAAAGACATGTTATACATACAGAAGTTAAAAGTGCCAGATTGTGCTTTTTGGGGTTTCCCTTTTCCTGTAGTGTGTTATATAGGTTTTTGTGCATTTCAATGGTCTGCAAAGGCTAAAATGTGCATTCTTCTACACACCCCCCCCCCCTCCCCCCTGCCTGAAACGCCTCCATTGGACTCCTATGTTTACTTCCGTAACATAGTGACATCACTATGTATCACTCGCGCTGTTATTGGCTAGTGCTCCACCACATTTTAAGTGATAGGAGGGACATCTCTAAGTTGGCCAAACACACTAGAGCTGGCCAGCTAACCAATCAGAGCAGACTGGTTTCAGACAGAGGGGGAAAAGAGGTGCTGTAACACAGGCAGTATGAGACAAATAAAGACCTTTTTGAATATTAAAGCATGTAAACAAGTCGAACAAAGTTAAACTTCTGGTGTCCATCCCAGGAAAGCAACAGTTTGGTACGCGTTCCAGGGTAAAACACATCTTCTCTTTACATTTGAAATAAAAATGAATTCTTATTTTTGGTGATTTGTTTGTATTCTTGTTTGATGGTCTCACCTTTCCCTGCAGCTGGATCAACTCTCTCCAAAACAACTCGCAGGCCATCCAAACTGGATATGGGGGCGCCTAGGTCCAAAGGCTCAGTTTCTCCACTCTGAAAGAAAGTCATATTTGATGGTTAACACCTTATGGCTAAGTATGTCTCAATTTGTTTTGGCTGTAATTGAGTTCACAAGCTAAATGTATAAACCGTATTACAGGCTACTGTATAATAGAGTTATAATGCCTGGAAACCCAAAGGACTAAAATACATCCTCTGGCAGGAGTTGAGGGGAGGACTAAAAAGAGTTGGCATGTTTGAGGAGTGTCGTCATTTGTAATTATAGCCCTGCTGCTCCATCTTCGGAGGTCGGGCTGAGTCACAGCGCTAACCACCGTGTAGAGATGGAAAAGGATGCGGTCGCTTCCTTCCCCTGACCATGATACTCCACCCTGTGGCACCGTCACACACTGCACAAGATGCTGAACACACACACACAGGAGCTTCAAACAAACATGAAGGCATTGTAGCCACCGGGGGCGACTTACTATTTTGGCCACGAGATCGCTGAGGTGGAGGCCATATTTGGCCACCACGGGACGCAGGACCTCAGTGACGGGTTTGGTAGGTTTGGCCTTCAGACCCACGGAGCGGTTAATGGGGACCAGGTCCAATCTAGGAGCACAGAAAGAGCACGGGTAAATGTCAGCGGCGACATTAAAGCACACAGTGAAAAAGTGATATTTATTGGCAAGAAGAGACACCATGGAAATCTGACGCAGCGCCCCAGTTTGAGACCTGGCCGAGGTAAGAGGAAGGCATTTAGAGAAGAATAGAATATCAAGGATCAATAGATCTCTTTTTCCTTTGTACAACGCTCCCTTGTACCCTTCTTTAGACGAAGGTGAAACTAGTAAAATATTAATCCTTTTTTACCTTAAAACCCCTCCAGCTGTTTTCTCATCATTACGATCAATACATATTTAATATAATTCTTTTAAGGGAGGGAAGTAGGCAAGGATTTAATTGCATTTCTAAATGATTAACTTATTATTTGTAAATGTAGTTTTCCGTTGATTATTATTTAAAAAGATTCAGGTTTGTGGTTATACTATTAATAATATTTGCATGCCTGTATTGGTCTTCCTGGATTGGGTATTTCTTGTTTTCTTGTCTTGTTATGTATGCAAAACCAATGTAAACTAACGTGTGAAGAGCTCTTTAAAGGAAATTGACAAATCAAAGGAAATGTTTAAGGAATATACCTAAACAACGTCCGCTTCTCCACTCTTAATTCTCGGGAGCTGAGGGTCATACAGTCTTGGTCCAACACCAAAGGCTGTGAGGAAAAAAGCAACATTAAAAAACACAAGCGACAAACCCAGAGCACTCCATACCGTAAACTCTACACAGTAAATCTGTTTTAGTGTCTCTGTTGGAACTTAATTAGAAAAAGCTTAATTTAACCAATGACTACTCACAAGAAAATACATTGTTTTATTAGCTTGGTTCATCGCAAACAAAGGGTTGACTCAGTGGTTGCATGAGGAGCTTGCCTGAGTGTTCTGATCTATTAGCAGCATGTTTCCAGCATTCATCAGTCAATGATTGTCTTACCTTCTCTCCTCCCACCAGGAAGAGGTCCACAGCAGCGATGTTGACGTTGATGCTCTGACAGAGGTCGTGGAGGACGTCCCTTATGGAGGCCCCGGGCCGGAGACTGATGGGAGAGCAGGAGCCGTCGGGCAGCACCACGCTGCAGTGTTTGGGGGAGCGCTCCCATACTGAGTGGCGATTATCAGCCTAAAGAAGATAGACAAAAGGAGGCTTCATTAAAAGGACTGGAAGTGTTACAAAAGCCGCTTTCACTTTGTACTGTGTACTTTGCCGTACTTAGTTCCCAGCACTGTTTTTTTGTGTTGCCATAAGTTATTCTCTCTCCGTTGGTGCGCGGGGCTAATGCTAATAATGCTAATGCCAGCAAATACAATGGCGGCTTCACAAAACTGTTCAAAGTTTTACCGGGCGTGGTTTGCAATTCGCCCAGCCAATCAGAAATTGGAACTTTTTTCTCCCCAGGAAAGTACCACCTCTCTAGCAGGCACTGATGCCCCTTTCACACCAGCGCTTTTTCAGCTCCGGCTCGGAGCTGGAGCCTGAAAAGCGCCGTTTTTTCCTGTTTACACCGCAGCGGCGCCGGCTCTTAGCTCCGGAATCCGGTTCACTTCCAGCTCCAAAAAAATTGTCGGTCTAGAGCAGGGGTGCCCAACCAGTCGATCGCGAGGAGATTCCCAGTCGATCGCGAGATGTGTCTAAAAATAGAACAACAACATTCTGTTTTATCGTTAATGTCCTGTAACATAATGTTCCTGTGCCAGAATAATGCACTTGAACGCATCAAAGCTTTGTGATTGGCCGGCGTGACCCCATGTGTCGGGGCGTGGCTGGTGGGCAGTGGGCACTATTTCGCTGACGTTGTTGTCCGACCTTAGAGGCTTCTCAATACTCAAATTTCCCCTCCTCAACTCCCCTCCTCGGTTCCCCTCCTCGAGACTTAGACCCGCACACAGGAGATGCGAGCGGAGGACCGAGGAGGGAAACCGAGGAGAGAGGAGGGGAAGCAGCAGACGTTTAAAGAAATGAGAACTCCTCTCCTCTGAGCGGTCATTTTAAAGAGCCGTCCGTTCATTATTACGTGGCAACAGCTGCATCAGCTGTCGAGTGTTTTGTCATAGTGCTGTATCTCTGTTAGATCAGCTGAACATTGTTCCCCCACATATTTACTTTGAATTAATTGAGAGTGAGGTATAATGAGACAATAACAGGCTACAGATGCGGACACACGCACACAAATATATTTATATATACAATTTAAAGTACGAGAGCACTCTCATAATAACGTAACACAATCAGAGACTAGATATATCCCCCCCTCTCTCTCTCTGGTCGCTGAAATGGGGAATTGAAATTACGGGCCAAAAGTTGTATTTACAAGTAGGCCTATTAAAAGTAAGCAGAGGACACCAAACCAACTGAGACCCGTCTGTCCGCCGCATTTACGCACTGTACAACACACACCTACACACTCCTACCACACACACCTACACACTGTACCACACACACCTACAGCTCCTAAAGCAGGGGTAGGCAAGTAAGTTTGGCCGCGGGCCAATTTTTTGCTGAGCCGCAAGATGGCGGGCCAGAACATAATCAAAGCCTAATTCAAGGAATTGATTTTGGTAAGAGGGCGCAGCGCCCCTGTTCCCCGGTTCAGAACAAACTCTATCGCTGATAACCCTCCCCATCAACACTCTGATGCGCAGTCAGATCCGCTGATTGGTTCACTGATGATATAGGCGCCCAATCCAGAGCCTCTGGCTAGACCCGCCCAAAGGGAGGCTCGTCCTCTCTAGCCCCATTTCAGTCCCAAAGCCAGGGCTATTATCTGTATTTTAACAGACTTATCTTTTAAATTGAGGTGTATTTATTGTTCTCTTCAAAGTTTATTTTTCTCTGAAATGTTAGGGAGGATGGTCCTCCCTTTCCTCAATGGACGAGCCTCCACTGAGTAAAGTAGAGTTATTAACTAGGTAGCAGTGTTATTTAACATACTTTTATTCTGATAAGTATTGTCAAGTTCTCTGGGTTTTTGGCATTTATTTGAGTGTTTGCCCACATTTGAGAGGCTTGAGGGACAACTGGAATCCTTTTTCCTTTTCTTTATTTCAACTTTTCAAGGACACATTAGGATTCTTTCAGGTTGAAAACCTTTAAAAAATACCAAAGGACAAAATAAATCAATTACAGCAGTTTTGCTTTGCAATTTCATATATTATAACCTAAATTAATCAGTAACCAAGTATTTTACTCAAACTCAATGTATTTAATAGTTAAATAACTTAAAAGTACTTGAATTGACCTGGTTCCCCCCAACCACACATTTGCCATATGTGACCCGCTCTATCGAAATCAGTCGAAAGTCGCAACGGCTCATTTCAAAATAAACGTGGATTTGCGTAAAAAAATAGTTTTTCGGGGATCGGGTGTTTTGTTTGATTTTAAATAAACAAAGTCTTGGCTTTCAGAATAAGACATTTTTATTTCCAAAATCACACGATAAATACATGTTTGAAGCTTGTAAAGGGAAGATGACAGCTCTCCCTCGCCACTCTGCTCTTCCACAGCGCCGCCCCCCCTCCCTCCGCTGACATTATGAATGTAAGCGGATATGTCGGGACAGAATTTATTTTACCGGACAAATTTGAAACTTACCGGTCATGTTTCAATAATAATAATAACTACCACCAATAACTACCACCCGTTAACTACCACCCGTTAACTATGAGTGGGCTGACAAGTGACAAGTAAAAAACAATTACTGAGGCCTGATATGATAGCTGTACCAGACACTGGGCTCTGTGTTGCCATAGTGATTTGTCCAGAGGAATCTTACCTCGATCTTCCCAGCAGAGCAGGAAGTGGCCATCTCCAGACTGGTACCGGACGACAAGGAGCCCTGGGACTCCCTCCGCCCATTACTGCCCCAGTAGTCTGCACAAGAAAACACAGAGGAGGGTGAACTCATGCAGATAAGAGACTTTAGTCACTACTTTCAGAAAATAAAACGTACAATATTTAACACCATGACAGCTTCAAACTATGGCATGACTTATAACAATGTTTTTAGAGTTATAATCAAAGTTTGACACCACAAAAAAGGTAATCAAAGAAGATATTTGCGTATAAACAGTGTCATTCAATTGAATTGCAGCTATATTTATTGAGAGACGGTACCGGTGTGAACAGTAGGTTCAACATAGACCAAAAAATAATGATTGTAATATATATTCAAAGCAATAAATACACCAGAGTTTGACAAACACTCTGGTGTATTTACACATTACATTACATTACATTGCATTTAGCTGACGCTTTTATCCAAAGCGACTTACAATAAGTACATTCGACCAGGAAGACACAACCTTGAAGAAAACAGAATCATATAAGTACATCAGGTTTCATAGAGCCAAACATTTCAAGTGCTACTCAACTGGCTTTAGGTAAGCCAGTCCTTTATTAGTATAAAAGTGCTTCGTTAATAGTTCTAACGCTCGAAGTGGAGTCGAAAGAGATGAGTTTTCAGTTTGCGCCGGAAGATGTGCAAGCTATCTGCCGTCCTGATGTCAATGGGGAGCTCATTCCACCATCTTGGAGCCAGGACCGCAAACCCACGTGTTTTCGCCGATGGGAACTTGGGTCCCCCTCGCAGCGAGGGCGCAACGAGTCGTTTGGCTGATGCAGAGCGTAGTGCACGCGCTGGGGTATACGGTTTAACCATGTCCTGGATGTAGGAAGGGCCAGATCCATTCGCAGCACGGTAAGCAAGTACCAGTGTCTTGAAGTGGATTCTAGCAGTTACCGGAAGCCAGTGAAGGGAGCGGAGGAGCGGAGTGGTGTGGGAGAATTTAGGAAGGTTGAAGACCAGACGAGCCGCTGCATTCTGGATGAGCTGCAGAGGTCGGATGGCACATGCAGGTAGACCAGCCAGGAGGGAGTTGCAGTAGTCTAGGCGTGAGATGACGAGAGCCTGGACCAGAACCTGAGTCGCTTTCTGAGTCAGCTGGGGACGTATCTTCCTGATGTTGTAAAGCGTGTATCTGCAGCAACGGGTTGTAGCAGCGATGTTTGCAGTGAAGGACAGGTTGTTATCTAGGGTCACACCCAGATTCCTTGCAGTCTGAGTCGGGGAAACAACTGAGGTGCCGATGTTGATTGTTAGGTCAAGAGTGGGACAATCTTTTCCCGGAAGGAAGAGCAGCTCAGTCTTGTCAAGGTTGAGCTTGAGGTGATGAGCAGACATCCACTGAAAGATGTCAGCTAGACAAGCAGAGATGCGTGCAACGACCTGGGTCTCTGAGCGGGGAAAGGACAGAATTAAATTGGGTGTCGTCAGCGTAGCAGTGGTAAGAAAAACCATGCGGGCTAATGACTGATCCGAGCGAGTTTGTGTACAGGGAGAAGAGGAGGGGACCAAGAACAGAGCCCTGAGGGACCCCCGTAGTTAATTGACAAGGGTCGGACTCAGACCCTCTCCAAGTCACCCTGTAGGTACGGTCTTTCAGGTATGAGGTGAGGAGGGAAAGTGCTGAGCCTGAAAATCCAAGTTTTTGGAGAGTACGAAGGAGGATCTGATGGTTCACCGTGTCGAATGCAGCAGACAGGTCCAACAGGATGATGACAGAGGAGAGGGATGCAGTTTTGGCAGTGTGCAGTTCCTCCGTGACAGCAATGAGAGCAGTTTCTGTGGAGTGACCTGCCTTGAAACCAGACTGGTGCGGATCCAGAAGGTTGTTCTGATTGAGATAACAGGAGAGTTGTTTAAAGACAGCGCGTTCAAGTGATTTAGACAGGAACGGGAGGAGAGAGACAGGCCTGTAGTTTATAACATCAGACGGGTTGAGAGTGGGTTTCTTTAGGAGAGGGTTTACTCTTGCCTCCTTGAGACTGTTTGGAAAGTGACCAGAAGTGTTGATGAAATGGGTGAGAAACGGTAGAATATCAGGAGCGATAGTCTGAAGGAGGTTTGAAGGGATAGGGTCCAGAGGACAGGTGGTAGGGCGGGCAGAGGTAATGAGGGTAAGAACCTCACTTGGAGAGAGAGGGGAAAAGGAGGTAAGTGTGTTGGTGGAAGGAGGGTCTGGTGACCCAGCGGTGAGTAAAGGTGAGTCAGAAAAAGAAGAGCGAATATCATCAACCTTTTTTTCAAAGTGGGTAACAAAGTCGCTTGACAGAAGTGAGGAGGGGGGAGGAGCTTTTGGAGGGTCCAAGAGGGTGGAGAAGATGGAAAATAACTTAAGCTTTAAAGAATATTTACAGAAAAATTAGGAATAATTTCTAATGTATTTGACAAAGCTTGTAAATCAAAAAAATAAAAATAAATGGTTTTATCAATTGCAGCCTTTCAAATTAGTAACCTTAAAAAGGCACAATGAGTAGGTTGTTTTAAAAGATGTGCAGATTCTCTCTGTGCCTTACAGCTATAATTTGATATCATAATGATCAAAATCCCCAACAAAGGCTTCCCATCATCATATCAACCTCATTTTGGTATTTCGCCACCTTTAAAACACTGGCCCTTTGTTGATAGCACTCTCTCCGGTGAGTCAAAATGCTGTCAAAAGGTGTTTTTGGGTACATGCGCTGCGTGTGTAATACTTTGATGACTGCGGGGCAGCTGTGTTTCTACATCCCTCCCCCGCATGTAGCTCATGGCAACACCGGAGCTGGCATCAAATTGGTGTGTTTTTCAAGGACACATCAGCTCTTTGGAAGTGTTGCGAAAGCTTGTGGAAAGCTTTTTTTAACCAGTGTTCTTGTTTATCCATTCCATACCCAGGTTTATGTCTGCTATGTCCTTCTTCTTGGGGCCCTTTCCAAAGCTCCTGTTGCGGGACCACGAGAAGAAGCCGCGTTTCTTATCGGCGCTCTCATCCTTGTCTTCGGTGAGTGACCTCCCTGACCTCTGCTTTCTGGCCTCCTATTGGTTGGAGAACGTAAAAGGAAGATGTAACCAGCTGTAAAGGACTGTCAACAAAGCTGTTACTCTATGATCTATTCTAGTGATACAGCTTAAAAAGTCAGTGTTACCTTTTTGGGAGTGGAGAGGGAGGAGCGGTCCGAGCTGGCGCTGTGTTTAGAGGGCGCAGGACTGCAGGGAATCTGGTAAGGGTCCGGCAGAGATCGGCCATCCACCTCGGCACGCATGCACTCTTGGTAAAGGGAGGACTTGAGGAATCGGGAATAACTGTCAAACTTCATCAAATTAAAAATCTGTAGAAGAAAAAGGGTGGTTTTTAAAAACAGTGGTGGAATGAAAGAGGTGAGATACAAACATAAAAGGGTGAGGAAGAGTAAATTAAACAAAAGAGGAGAACTACCGGTGGTAACGTATGGTTACAGCTCATGTTATGACAGGTGTCTCAACACTTTTAAATGCTCATGTCCAGCCTGGAAATATACACATGCATGTCTATGTGTCTGTGTGTACAGTATGCGCTTGCTTCTCTGTGGGCGTATGCCAGTTTGTGTTTATTTCTCTGGTAAAGGCTCCGCGCCCTTTCGTAAACAAACCCAGATGGCCATCGAGAAAAGCCAATATGCTTATGCAGAGTGACTAAAGGCGAGAGGAGAACGGAACCCCCTACTGTCAAGGAAAATGCCCGGATATTCACGGTGATGCTGAGCAAGCAAATCATGAGAATAATAGAAATCAGAAATCAAACAAATATGAAATGCTGAGGGTCAGTTTTTAGGCTTCTATTGAGGTTTTGAATGTCTGCCGTCATATTTTATGATGCCATCATACTAAAGAAATTAATAAATTGTTGTGAAATAACACAAAATCAACCAAAACCTGGGGATTTGGTGTTGTAATTATTTTTTAAAGTTTCTATTGAGGTTATTGAATGTCTGTCTTCATATTAAAGTGCACCTATCAAGCTATTTTTAGGCAATAGCATAGGTCTCAGATATATAAAAAACATGTCTATGAAGTGTTTTCCTCAAAATACCAAACAGATCACCCATTCTAGCCATGCCTCATATCCCTCTATTTCACTTCCTGTTTCAAAAGTGCTGATTTGGGGTATAAAGATTTTTTTTTTTTAAATTGATAAAAAAGAAAAAAGGAGGGGTCTGAGCTCATGCGGGACCCGACAGCTACTGTCTAAACTAAATACTGCGGTGATGAAACGCCATATCATGGATTATCAAGGACTCTTTCTGAAACAGTATGGAGCTCAAAGGCTTTCTCTCTTGCCGGTTATACCACAAGGTGAGTTCCTTTTTATTTCCTGCTTCTTCACACACATGCTCTCCAGTACAGGTTAGCTCTGAGTGTTAGCGATGCTAATGTGAACACCGACCATATTACTTCCAAAACAGTGAGGCATTGTTTCTGATAGCAGCGTTTCTGATAGGGCCGTGGGTGTAAAGCCAGCCTACATTTCCGATATTACGTCATATCGGATGCAAATCTGGATCAGCTCCAGTGTTCCCCCATTTTTAGAGATTTGGGTACGGAGGAAAAGAGAGAGGGTTTTATTTTCTGACGCTGCCGGGGACACATATTTATGTATAAAAGACATAAAAAGTGCATTTTGCATGATAGGTCCCCTTTAAATGAATTCATCACCCTTAAGAAAAGCAGTTATTAACAGTTAACAATTTTTTGACCGCAGTTCTCAGAAAGGCTGAACTGAATATTTTGTTAGAATTAAAAGGTATTGTGAATTTTGGAAATTATTGCATCTATCTTTTTCATTGAATTAGACTGCTAATTGCTGTGGAGTTAATGAAAACGTTTGGATCACACAGGTTGGAATCAATCCTATTTAGCAACTTTACAAATCGTATCATACTGGTATTATGCTTCAATAATAATAGTATAACACTGATAGCATTAGTCTAGCCCTTCTTAATCAGCAACTTGGCTGAAACATTATATACAAACATTATATATTCTGTCATGCAGAACAAAAATGAATGTAGCAGTCTTATTTAGATTTATGACTTTCAACATGTTGAGAGCAGCCTTGATTTAGCTCTTCCCTACCAAAGACATGACGTGATAAAAAACTGCTGAAGCAACATGTTATTTGCAGAGACTAGCTCAATACAACTTCTACTCTCGTTGTGTCTGTACCTGTAGCTGCTGCGTCTTGAACATGTCGGGCCGCGGGGAGGTGAGGACGTCGTCGGCCAGCTGGGCCTGGCTGTCGATGTTGACCGGCATGGTGGCCTTGCTGGACAGGAAGCTGTTGTAGATCTCTCCGGCTCTCTGAGACAGCTGCAGGACAGAGGGCGGACGATGCATTAGAGCCAAGATGTATTTCACATAAAATAATAGCATCATTTCATTAAGGATTGGCCAATTGTTGGAAGGTGGGACTCATAAGGGTCACAAAATAAATGTACAGGGTCGAGAGAGAATGTTTATGTACAGAATTCAAAATGTAAATGCAACCAGGAAGTGGGATTTGTATCTTATGTGGAGAAGCAGGACCGAGTCTAAAAACGTTCTTACAGGGACAATAAAGTATATTGTATTGTATCATATCAAAGACTTCTATTCAAAATGATTTATTATATATATTGGCTTTAGGTATAGATGATAGGTTTACCCCTGTTTAACCTGTTAAAAAAAACTCATTTGATTAAGGAACAACAGTATGATATCTATTCTGTTAGTAGAGGTGATACTCAATTTTGTGTTACGTAGATCTAGGACAAAAAAGATAGGAGTGTTTCCAATCACTCTACATGTCTTAGTCAGTGGGTTTAGCTTCACACTGTAGACTTACCTGCTTTTTATCAGCTGCAGGGACATGACTGAAGTATTCACAGGCCTGCCAGAACAAGATATTCTCCTCACTGAATTCTTTCTTGAGAAATTCCTGTGAAACAGAAGGAGTCTTAATACGATCCCAAACCGGTGATCATGCTTTTTTGTTATGTTCTCTGTGCTGTTGCAGTAGTGAGGGAAACATTTTTTAGGTGAAATGCTGTGAACAAAATTGGTGTAGGCACAGGAGAGTGTGGGTGGATCTGATCAGTGCTGAGGGGGGGTGAGGAGCGCCTCCGGGACGCCAGAACTTAATGCTGAGCCTTCTGAAGGTGTTGTAGGCTAAATTCAATAGGCACATATTTTCTGTGGGAGGTTATATAAATGAAGTGCCCGTAATGAAAAGTTTGGATATAGAGAACTGGTTTGGGACTATTGAAATCTTTGCCTTAGATTTGGTTAAAAAAATAAGTCTCTCAATCTTGTCATAAATGTAAAAAATAACACAATCCAGGCCATAAAGAGGGGGCAAACTCTCAAATACTGACAAAAAAGGTGAAATGTTAAAATGTAAAGACTGCATGTAAACAGTTTAATGTTAAAACGTGGTCTAACTCTAACATGACATAACTGGATAAGAATGCAGGAGTTTTAATGCCATAATGGTCAATGATCAGCTGATAGAAAAGCACAAAGCACACGTATGAAAAAAGTCTGAAACTAAAATAACATTTGTCTTTATTGCTTACACAATTGAGTTTGGTTACTTTTCACTTTCAATTACAAAAAATAAATAACTCAAATAGAGCTCGGCCAAGGCCAATGTCTCATTCAGGTTCTCTGGGAAATTGGTATTACCAATATGCCCGTTTTCAAGTCATTTGCACAACAGGATTGCAATACAAATGCTGTACCTCGCATTGAGATTGCAATAAAAGTAAAACATGAAACTTCATGCCAACAGATATTTTCACAACCCTGAATCCAATCACCTATGAAACGTTCTTATCTTACCGAGAAGTAGCGCACCCCCACTGGGTCCTGGAGGAGGCGTTCGAAGCAGGCGGCCCAGCTGGCCACTCTCTGCTCCGGGACCCCTCGCAGGCTGCCCGCTCCTGGAAGACTGCCATTACTGTTCAGGCTGCTCTGGCTGCAGCATCCCTGCAACTGGACTCCACTGTAGTCTGTGGAGGGGGGGGGGAGCACAGTGTAAAGGTTAGAGGAGATAAAGAGTGATTCAAGCCAAAGGGAAAGTAAGAGAGTTTTTAACCTTCTAAATATCCTGACGATTTTGGCATTGGTGTGTTTTTTGTCCTAAATAATAATGAAATGTTTCTCCCTGTCTTGTATTTCAGATGTTTTTTTTATTATTACTTTATATGTAGTTATATCATGTGTTTCTGGTGCACTATGTCATAATTGTTTTAATGTTTTTTTGTGCCCTTGTTCTTAAAATGCTTCTTAATGTAATCTGTTGAGGAGAACAGAGCTATTGTGAAGACTTGTATAAACATTTTCTAAGAAACCAACAAAGACTTTTGGTATTGGAAAAGGAAAAGACTCTTAACAAAATTAGGCATGTCTGACTTGAACGCACAATAAACAGCAATTTTGTTACAATGGAACATTATTAGAAGTGGGTTAGTTTCACTACAGGCAACTATTATACATACAACTCTTACTAGTCTTTTCAACAAATAGCAGGAAATGAGGAAGACAAATATGTTGTCAGAAATGGGAGGGGACATGTACGTAGTTACAGCAGACAAAATAGCCACAGACAGCTTAATGTTACATGCATTAAAAAGTACTAAGTTATGATATAATAAAAAATATAAAAATGTAATTAAAAAATAAAAGTTACATTATTTTCAAAATACACATCCTGTAACAGTTCTTAGGATTTAGCAGCCAGGTATATATATCCCGTTGAGTTAAGAGGCAAGATCTTTAACAAAAGGATCTAGCCATAATGGGGAGTCAAGAGGTGCCCTACATCTGCGGCAAACACAATTACAATGTGGAAAGGGATGAGACAATACGGTAAATGTCAAGGGTCTTTTACTGTAACCTTTGCTACTCCTCTCACTGGCGAATGTGAACACACTAAGTGAATGTCAAAATATGTTATGTGGGAAGTGGGATCGGATTGCAGTGGAGAAGAAGCAGATGTCACTCAGTTGGTAAAAGAAAGGACAGAGAGGACCGGGAGCGGAATAAAAGACGAAGAAAGAGAGGACACATGGATGATTAAAAGGAAGACAATGAGGGAGAGTGGTGAGGGGCTGCTGGTCATCTAAAGTGGGGGCTTTGACCCCCACAGTACCTGCTATCATGACGGCAGATGGCCACTTTAGGGCTGTGGGCAGGCACAGTAAAAACAAACCACAAAGAGGGTCACAGTGTGATTTCTTACAGATGCTAGCTGTTGTTATTCTACTCAGAGTTAACTGGTTAGCATGGGCAACTGGTGTTAGCACTGTATCTCTGATGTGGAGAACAGAAAGGCTAGTGGGGTCAAATAAGGTCCGGTCGTCATCTTCCTTCCACACAGGATGTAGGATGGGTTTACAACAGTGGTGAAAGAAGTACCAAATAATAATCGAGTAATACCAAAATGTTAATTACTCGATTATAGATAAACTTCCTGCATTTAAAGTCTTATTGTAGTGAAGTACAAAAGTATCATCATTAAAATATACCAAAAGTAAAAGCACGTAATGGCCCATTTTCACTACCATATTAATTAATGGATTATGATTATTGGTGGAGCTACTAATTTTAACTGCTTTGTATACTGCTGCTGAATATCCTAACCTATACAAATAAATATATTTGTAAAAAAGTATTGGAGTAAAAGTTTAGAGTAAAAGAAAAGTGCTTGAGTACAGTACTGTATTGTATTACATTCCACCACTGATTTACAAATAGGTGGTTTCAGTAATTCAGCTTATTAGTAAGGTGGCATCTGTATCAGCTGCACTTAGTCAAATGTAATCATCATCCTATATCTGGTACATATCCATGATTACTTTGCATAATGATTAAACAATGATAAAAATACACAAGCCAGTTCTAATGGCTTAATACTCTTCAGAAATAATGAGTTGACGTGTCATTAAAATTGCACACGCTTTACATAAAGTGTGAGAATCTGAGAGACTGAGGGATTTTCCCATCTCTGCAAGTCCCCATCCTAAAATGTGCTGACAGGCCATTTGTTTGGTCTCGGTTTACTGTATTAGGTCTGAGGCTTTGGCAGCCGTGTTTACCACATTGTGTGCCGCTCAGTTTGCAAACAGCCATCCATCCCCAGTGAAAGGAACGGGCTGCCCTCCTCACCGTGGCCTCGCTCAGTCTGTTAGCAAATGTTATTGAAGACTGCTATGAAAGGGAGGACCAGACATCTAGCTCCGGCGCTAACCCCGAAACACGCTCAGCAAACATCCTTTGTTAATGAGGCATGCTCCCGGCAGTGAGCACATCACCACGTCTTTTTATTAGAACATTTGATTAAGCGACTACAAAGCTGAGGGTAGAAGCAGAAAATAGGGAATAAAAAAGGCTGGACGAAGATCAGAAAGTTCCTACGTGTTGGGATGATTCAGAGCTTGAAATCTTGGTTCTCTTGTGAGTTCATTCTTTACATTTTAAGAGTTTCACTTACATATCTGACATACCTTTTGATTAGCATGATTGTTTAAAAGTAGTAATAAGGGAATTGTACTCACCACCATCTGAGGAAGCAGCAGACTGAAAGAGAACAAAGAGAGACATGAGTGAAAGGCTGCCCTCATGATCTCCCTCGCTGAGACCATAGACTGAAGATAGCAGCGTCTCTGCAGGCATCCCAACAGTCCTTCTGAGGCGTGTGTCTTTGTGGTGTGTGTGTATGTGTGTGGTGTGTGTGTGTGTGTGTGTGTGTGTGTGTGTGTGTGTGTGCTACTCGGAAAGGGTTGTAACGTGGGTCCTTACACAGGCCCAATAATATGTAAGAGGGTGGACCCCAGGGTTCTCTACCACACACAGCTGTTCACACCTCCACACCAGGACCCACCCTTCACTTTATATCACCCCTCACACACACACAGGCCTGAATGTGTGCATTCCTGCTAACTGCAGTCACAAAGGTCAGAGCCCATCAAGGCAGAGCCACTTGAGAGGCCATCAGTGGCTGTAATGCTCCTCTTTTCACTTGCTAATTTAGGCGATGGCTGCGATGTGTCCCTGAAAAGAAGCACAAGCCTCCCCCGTGGACTTGGACATTTCACAGTGGCAGCTTCCCATTATTGGGTGTAATTATAACAAAGGCATGAAGCTGAATAAACCCCCCTCCATGTCAGCGCTTTTGAAGGATCAACAAATATTTACATGGCAATACTTCAATTTGAAACCCATGCCTCAGCAGTGGGCTTCTCGGAAAATGTGTTAGCATCATTTTGGGTAAATGCTAATAAAGAGAGAGTTATAGCCTTGACTGTGGAGACGTTGTCACAAATATTTTTAAATGCAGGGGAGGATATGAGAGGCGCATCTTAGGGTTCGGTCCAAGAACACTTGATAAATCGGTGCGTTGGAGGATTCATCTGAATAGGGGAGACTATTTCCAGAAGAGTGCTTTCTGAAGCTGCCACTTCAAAGTGTGAATATCCAAGGCGGATAATACGTCTAAACAAGGCTCTTATTGCCAGGCTGTGTGAGCAGTAAACACAGTTTGTACTTCAGTGGAATTGCATAATACTGGACTGTAAAGCTGCAAAATCAGAGAACAATGAAACAAAACTTTTGCACCCTGCTGAGCGGGCCTGTCACGATTCATTACGTTAGCAACTTATCGAAACAATTGAACTTACCTCGGGTTGTTTTTACACAATCTTAATACTGTATGTTGTGTTTACATGCTTGATTATTTACATCTGAATATGATCCACCTTTTAGCTTACAACATGGTAGATTGAACAGCAGGGTTTCCCCTACTTTTACAAGATTTGGTAACTGAGTTAAGAGTCCTTTTTATTTTTTGCTTTTGGTTGTGTGGTTTCAATTGGTTTTGTATATTCATTCAGGGTATAAAAACAAACTAATTTTCTAATATGAATGTTTGAAAATATTATTTTATTCAGTTAAAGTGAATTGTCCTTAGAAAGGGTGCACTTGTATTATTTTGCATTAACATTATCATTCTATCAGGGGCAAAACATTTTCTTAAAATGACATTTGTGGCATTTTATTTGTAGGACAATACATTTAATTTTCCTGTCTGATTTAATTCAAAGTATCATTTCCAAATTTGCTGTGAGTTGAATGAATACAGCTTGATCAAACAGCCACAGAATAAGCTCAGACATATTGTGGACCAGCCCATTCTTTATAGTTTTTGTTGATGCCTTCTGAAGCCAGTTAACTTGACCGCGGTCCTGTGCCCTGACGTGACGCTGGGTTCCATTTTGGGAGTGACCACATGTAAAAAGCTCTATCAGACAATGACCACGTAACCACTAATTGTCTGTCGCAGCCTCTTTACAACTAGTCCAACCCCATGTAGTCAACACCCAAAAGCCACCTCTTCAGTGGTGGCTAGCATGTGGACAGTAATCATGGGCGGGTAGGATGAGGACCAACATGAAGCTGAAGCAGAAAGGAAAGAAAAAAGAGAACACCCACTCCATCTGTCTGCTGCTTTTGGTCTAAAAACGGCTAAACCTCAACCCTTAAATATATAGAGGGAGACCGACATCACACAATGTGACGTAGACTTCGGTTTTAAACAAAAGCTCCCAGCTGAAACTTTGGAAATGAAAACTGGTCATTTGAGGAGTCAACTACTTTTCAAACGTCCCAAATGGAGAGATGTTACTTCTGATATAATATAATAGACATCCGCTTCCTGTTAGCAGAAGCTCCTCTTAATCCCAGTTAGGAAACAAGTGGGAGAGTTCCAATAAATCTCAATGAATGCCTTCCTGACACACAGATGACGATACATCTCATGCTGATGTCAGAGGAAATATATGTTGATGACAAATATGTTATAGGTTGCGTAAGCAGACAACAGTATGAAAATGACCGATAGCTAAATACATTGATCAGATTTTGTTGAATTCTATTAGCATTTTTAAAATGGTGTAAACTTCAGACTATTTACATTGTTGAAATTGAGAGTAGTGTAACCGGTTATGTTAATTTGATCACATTTGATAAGCTGGAAATGACATGTTTTGCTTAGAAGTTATTTGAATAATACAATATTAAAGTTGTTCTTGGTCAATATTTACATGAACTGATCAGATAAAATAACATAATAATGACACGTCTCGTTTGTAATAGTTGACCTGGTTGGTTGGTGTGTGTATGATGAGCCAGCAGGGGTTAGACCACACACACCACTCGTTATTACTTCCTTGCCCACAAGTTTCCTACAGTGAAGCTGCAGTGATGACCCAGGCCCACCGTCACCTCTTGTCCACACAACCCCTTCCTCTGTTGACACCTCTTCTGACGATCTGCTCCACCATGGGTGGCTTGGCTGTACTGCAGACCCTCTTTGATCCTTTTCTCTCAAAGCTGAATTGCAAAGATCCCATTTCCCAGCTGGAATCCTTCTGAAAGCTGCCCACGTTGGGTTGTTATCAACCAAATGGACAAAGTCACAGTGAGTACCTTGGCTCCAAACGAGCAGGATTTGGTTCTCGGGTTGGAAAACGCTCTGCTAGCTTTCCTGTGGTACAGCCCCCACGCCGCACAGTCTGGCATCTCGAGACACCACATGCTGAAGGAACGTAGATGATCCCACCAAGACATATTCATGATGATCTGAAGTGAGCCACCGCAAGAAAACAAACTTTCACCGGTGTGAAATCAGTTGAAGGATAAGCCACGTTCATACAAATGTTAATGTCCTCCATTAACATCTCTCACAGACTGTACATCAGAACCTTTAAACCTGATTTCTGTCATCTGTTGGGCTTGTTTAGGCTTGTTGCTTCCATTAAAAACTTTTTTGAGATGAACCCTGTTCACACAACAGTCGGATAATAAGAAACGTAACTTTTGCAGAAGTCAAGGCTGATTCTAGCACCCCGCAAACAAACAACCACGAGTCCCTGCCGCTTCAAACAGCTGTTCAGAGTGGGAGAGAAGACGAGCGACAAAGAGGGAGATTAATGAGAAAAGCGGCTGAGTGAACCAAAGGAGTCTCCCTGCTTAATACAGAGGAGGCACGCTCGGCAAACCACAGTTTACTTACAGTGTTGAAGTTCCAATTCCTCTTGAAGGAAAGTCTCTTTTTGAGACTCATTGTTCCCTAGTCTGCTACACCAGAAGCACACCGACAGATTATGTGTGTGTGAACGCATACCTGAACATTCCCCACCCAAAACTCTGAAAACCATGTCTGAACAAGTCGAAGAGAGGGAGGAGGGAGAGAGAAAGAGGAAGAGATTTGACAAGGTACTAGACAGAAAGAGGAGAAGGAGGGGGCTGAGATGGAGGAAAGAAAGATTTCCTTACGCCGCGGCTGTTACCATGGCAATGTGCCTGACAATACATACAGCCTCTGCCACATTGGCATGAAGGAATCAGATGAATTAATCCCCCCCCCCTCTTTTGATTCCCTTCACAAGACACACACACACTGGCCACGTCAAAACCACACTGGCCTTCCCCCCTTCTTTTGTTTCCAGTTGGGGCACTCTCCCTTTTCTTGAACGAGAGGAGAAATAGCCAGTCTGATCAAATGGAAACCAGATGAATTTTCTTCAATCAAAATAAAAGTTTGGTAGCCCACGACTTGAACTCTGAGTTCCATTATCCGCTGCTACTCACTCCCCCAACTTTATCAAGTCAATTTGTGTTTTTCTGCAAAGCAATTTAGCTCATGTACCGGCAGAAATGATTCTGGCATCAGTGTCCGCTGCCGCGCTGTGCCTCCACATTTCTCGGCAAATCTCTTACAATCAGACTGTTTTTGGACCGACTGTTATTCTTCAAGCATTGGTGGTTCATTCTGAGGTTTCCCCGTGGCACAAGAGCTAGCATTCTTTGGACTTCGTTTTGCCGTAAATAATGGATGCGATGCAGTGTTTATTAACAGTTGGTTTCATGGTACATTTATCCGGTTTAATTGGATTTGCCCATGGTCTATCGCTTTGTAAATTGCGTGTTTATCAGATGTGTATGGGCTGTGTTGATTACTCGAACGGTGCAATGGGCTTGGGCGATTGCGGGTGGTTTTTTGGGGCGAATTAAACCAAAGATTCTGGAGTGGTGAAGCGGGCCCATTGGCAGTTCATGGGGGTGCTGCTTTTGCTGCCATAATGGTCCTTCCCAAATAGGGGTTTAGTATTCTTTTCTTTGCAACAAGCCTTCCAATGATTGCAATTACTGAATTTGTCGTGTGGGGATTTTAACCGTAACTTAAGCTATAACCGACAACTTTTGAACCCCCTCAGGAGGGAATTGTTTCCATTTACGTGAAAGCACTAAATGGAGTGATAGAAAATGACTCCATTAGGTTGTAGCAATATATCTAATACCACTGTATTATATACAAATGCATAAATAACGACACATATATGGAAAGCCTCTCCTCAAACAAAAAATGTTTGAAGATTTAGCCTGTGAGTGTGATTTTAGTTATCATAAAGTAAGAAAATTAAGTAAACAACCTTCGCAAATCTACTGTTAGTCAGTTGTAATTAAGTCAAAGAAGTAGCTGAGCTAAAGACAAACTGAACATGCCCTTAAATTATCCT